AATTGAAAAAAAAAACTACACATTATTTCTCAAAATATTCTTTACAGCTATGTATGATATTATTGTTTGTCTCTGTCATACATGACTACGTCTAACAGTACTTTTAGTACTTTGATTAAGTTCTATAATGCTTAAAGGGAATAGACGAGGAGGATGTTATATAGCAGAAACTTCATGATTTATGAATGTACGGTAAGCGAAAAGATAGATCCCCATTATTAATTGTTTCGGTAAAAATGAATTCCTTTGTTAGAAAATGAAAATAGAACCATGACCTATATATGTATCTAAAAGTATGTAATATTTATAAAAACAACGCAATAATATCAACTGCTTGAAACCTCTTAAGAGCTATACACAAAAAGCAAGTATATTTTGATACTGTGGTATTTCATTTTTAAACGAACGCATTAAGGAAAACTTCAACAATCAAAGCAATTTATATTTAAAACAAAGTATTAAATTTCTTGTTTTATTTAAGGTAAACAGAAGAGTATATCAAAATCTAAAGTCATGTGATAAAATTCTCGGTTGAATTTCAGCACGTCTAAGACGATCTTGCCAACCGGAAAAACTTGATACACCTTGGGCTTCAACATTTCGATCACCACGAGTTACTCTAACGAACACGTGTTGTGCTCAGCGACCCTATTTTAAAGCGCGGTTGTGGAGAGATCCACCTTGGCGTACCCCTCGTCACTATCGACAATTCCATTTCCTTGAGCGGCCCTTCAGCAACCAGTTGCCGATAACCCATTGCTTGTGATTGGTCATCAGGTCAGGTTGAAACCGCAATCCCTGGTGGGGGCATACGAAGACACCGCTGTGGCGATTGTATCGGCTTAATTTGTCGGCGAACTTGATTGAAAGGAACGGATCCATGGTGATTTCTTAGATTGTAAGTTAATCTTACCATAAGATGAGGCATTGTAGTATAGTACGGCGGTGCAATCCCAGTAACCCTTCGTTATATTACATATATAATGTCAAGCGTAAATGTCTTTTAAAATTATAATCTTAAGTTTCCAAAGTGGATGATTTAAAGGAAAATTTATAAGTAAATAGTAGGTTGTTTCGACTATACGATTCTAAAATGGGTTTTTACAAATTGTATAAACGAACTTTCCTTAATGCCATGTCGTTGAAATCTTCAAATTTTCTTCTTAAAGGTGAGTATTTTTTTAAAAAGCTTTGCTCATTTACCATACTCCTCTTGGTTTCGTCGAAACACAGCGCCGAAAAAGGGATAATAATGCAAAAGGAAACCACACTAAAGGTAGGAGAACAACCTAAAGATTGTTTAATTTTTTAAAATAGTACTCTTTGATGAAATGGAAAAGACTTCTGCATTACGGTTTAAAACGTTAAATTTTTACAGTGGAATTAATCTTTTTCATGATTCTAGATTTTAGAAATTGCGCTCTAAAAATCCCATCTTATTAAATAGAAAGCAGTCAAACAGATGAAAAATACTATTACCATCCCGAGTTAAAGGGTCAAAATGTACAGAAAATATAAGTTACAGTAGCTGTACTGTACCCATGTCTACGTTTCTGCAAGAGCTATTGCTTTCAAAAGAACGGATAAAGACAGTTGCAATTGGCAAGAAGATACAAAAATTCAACTGAAAATAGTTGGGGTTTTTTTCAGCCATGAATATATCAAAGTTCTACCAATTGATTTGTGTGAATTATGTTTCAAGTAAAATGAAAATAAAACTAATTTATGTTAAGACTACTTTTAAAATGTATTGTGTTGTCTCTATAACACAATATTATATTATAACAATTTGACCTTAATTTGTGCGAAAAACCATGTGAGCTTAAAACGTTTGTTGAGCTGTACAGTGTAGCGTGTGTTGCTATTTAATTATGTATAATTTAATTTTCAATCATTAAGTATACAAAACAAGACAATTTCTCCCTGAAACACGTCTTCAAATTATTATTATTTTTAACATAACGTAAAGCGGATTGATACGTTTTTGACGTAAGTCATGGTGACATTGACAACCCGCGGCCGGGTTATACAATTGTGATTATTTTTTTTATCCAATCAAAAGACGCGTTACAGCCAAAATTATTTTATGAACATATAATTTAATTTTGTTTATATTCTAGACTCTTATAGTTTAATATTCAAAAAGGAACGCAAATTATTTTTGTATAACTTGGTTTGGATCAGAGACAAACCCCCTTGACAGCTAGATGAATTATGCGTATGAAAGGAATCCTCTCATTTCTAGTCCTCAGGATTTATGGAAAATTTGAGATTTTCAAACAGTTAGCCAACTTTAACAAACATCATGGCTGCTAGATCTACTTGTATATATCAGTTATAACCCCCCCCCCCCCTCCCCGCTTCCCATAATTTCCTTTTCTACCGTTTTATTAGTTTATATAGCAAATTTGAACACATGAAATGTAACGCAAATTTACATTTACAACTGTTCAGTGATTTCAAATTAAAAAAAATATGGGGAATGACACTATTTTTTGGCCAAAGTATTTTTTAAATTTAACCTGGTGTAGGTCAGTTTACATTTTTTAATATTATAAACAAGAGTTAACATATCCAACTCAGATTATACTCAAATAACTTGGCCAGGAATCATTTCTTGAATATATATAAATTAACGATAGCTTAACCTTAAATTAATACCTTAAGGGAAGTAAATGTTCAAATGATTGATCATACTTGTGCAAATTCAAATATAGGATGCATCTGTAAATGAAAATACATACCAAACACCGATGCCATGATTGCATTCTGGGAAATTTCCAGATTTGACACTGACTTCGACAGCTTAGTACTTGTGTCTGATAAATCACTGTTCAAGGTATCCAGGGAAGCATTAAACATTGCCGACAAGGCGTTACATTTCTCTACCATCATAGCAGGAATACTTTTGTCTCTTTCCAGTGTATGTTCATTGGAAGATCTAGAAGTGTGACTGAGAGATATCGAACTTCAATTTTCAAATCACCAAGAATCGTACTTGTGTTTGTTTCAACGCTTCCCTTTTTTCCTCAAATTCTTTTGCAAAATTCTCAAACTGTTCATTAATTTGCGTAAAGTTTCCCTCGATGATACTGAAATTTTCCTCGAATTTTCTACTTTTAAGACTTAGTTTTTGGTTTTCACTTTTTAGATCGTTCACTTCTTTTTGTAAAGCGGCTGACTTTTATTTCAGTACTTTGTTGCAAGGATCCCATCGACTCTAGTTTTTCCTTAAGGTCCACCATATCCTTCATCAGTATGTGTACATTCTTCACTAATGCCATTCTAATAAGTGTCTCCTGATTCAAAAGTTGCCTGACCACGTCTGCATTTTTGGTATCAATGTTTTTCATGTCCAAGTCGGTGATATTTCGTCCACTATCGTCCGTGAGTATTGAAAGGTTATAAGCACAAGCAAAGTTAAGAAGCAAAAATGCAAGACCAAGACTGTGCTTCATCTTGAAAATCTTCAGTTGAAATGATGATAAGTATAAAGTTGAACGGTTATATTATATAACTATTAGATTGAGATTAATTTAACAAGAGATACTGTTTGCTCTCATTGGCAATTACTGATATGCCAAGGCTCTAAAGATCGGATAGATTTTATCTGATAAATGAATTCCAAGCTTTTAAATTCTAATTAAAAAACGAAAAATAGGGGAAAAAAGTAAATAAAAGCTGTACATGAAATATATAAATTGACACTGATGGAAAATGTCTTGGTAAGACCGCTTTAGTTATAAAGATAAAATGTTTTAATGACTGAGATTAACGTTTTTTAAATTAAATGCAAAAATGTAATTTGCTCGTAAAGTATGTTTTTATATTTGAACCAGTCTTTCTTGATAAATATAAGGTGTCTAAAATATATCGCGGAACCTCGGCTGTATTCTACAGATGTTTTTTTTTTTTTATTATTATTATTTTGTTTTACAATTATAATTTTCTGAACTGTTAATTATAATGTACATGTATTATTATAAATTAATGATACTTTTCCGTATATTATTTTGGTAAAGCATTTCATGAGATTACAAAATAATATCTTAATATGTTTATTTCAAGTTTGAAGTGTTCAAAGACTTAATATTTAAACAATCTAAAACCTCTGTTTTGCTGAAGTATTCAAATAAAACTTACACCTTTTCAAAGAATAAGATAGGACAAGAGCCAACCTAGGCCCCCTCTTTCAAAAAAACTAATATTATATGTAATCCAAGAGTATACCCAAGTCTAACAGGAAATGATATTTTTTTGGTGTTATCCCTGTAATTTGGTTGCATAGCAACACATCAAATATAACAACCATGAATTGAATTTAAAGTCAATTTCAGAAACATTTATTTATAGAACTATGTATGTATTCCATATTTTTTTAAGTAACACATGATAAAAATCATTTAAATCCTAGAAACATTGTAAATTGTAGGTGAAATGCAGAATTTAATTTTCCATGGCAACAAAACACATCCCTAGTAACAACTTTAAATGCATAAAATTATTGAGAAAAAGGGATGTTTGTGTACTATGATATGAAATTGTAAGGTTCAATGTTTGTATCTTAAGGATTAAGATCTATGTACATGTATCTTTAGAATTCAAAATTTTATCCTACAGGCATAAAAGAAATCCTTAGCAACAGCGTTGCAGTCATATAAAAAATGTATAAAAGTGTAGGAAGATTTCTTAACAGTTTGTATGCAACCACTGTGAACATCAGAATAACAAATAATAATGTGACAGTCACATATTTTTGTGTATTTTATGTACACTGTCTGTATACATAAAATATAATTAATAGAGTAAAAATTAAACTTTCTTATACTCAATAAACCCTTAGTAACCATATAAATCCCTAGTAACCAAATAAAATATCAAAAATAAAGAACTATGCACGATAATTCTCGATTCCTGCCTACATTTTACACTTCTTTGAAAATTGATCGAATATCAATGAAAATTTGGTTTACAGCTTTATTCAATTTTTACAAAAATTATAACGTTATATATATTATTCTCATGCCAAATGCTAGACGGTACGTTTTGCGAAAATTCATACAATTATCTACTTACATACATAGATGAAAATATGTTCATTTCGATTAATGGATTTGGGGAAGTCGGCAGAAAAAAACAACATTAATTTGTAGTTTTTTTTTAATTTATTAAACTATGATAAGATATATCTTTATGTACTAAGAATTTTCTATTTCAATATACAGCATATGACCTCTCATTTTTATATAAATTAAAAAAACAGCACTTCCTTTTCTGCAATGATTGTATTTTGCATAAAGTCACTCTAACAGGTTTGATCCATATATGTATGTATTGTATGAGACTAGACTATTGCCAAATAAAATGCAGTTTTTCTTTAGGCATCTGTAACTACAATTTGGAGACTTTATTTTACAAAAGAAGCTTATTTTGATATGGATATAAAAATGTATAAATTGAATGTGAACATACAAGTTATACTTATGTTCGTTGTAGTTGTCGCGTGTTCGAAATTAGGTCCACGTAATTTGCAGGTACAAATAGCAGTTAGCAGGATTGGGCGTTTATCTAAGCTCGCTCGGTTCTTTGAATATTAAGTTGTTCGGTAGTAAGGTACACTGTGTCTTAAGAACATTTTGTGTAAAAAATGGACGATATACAAATTAAATCTTCTGTAGATGATTTAGAATTGGGATTATCTTGAGATCATTTGTATAATATTGAAAATAAAGAGCTAACGAGCAGCATCCTGTTTACGACACAGGTGTATGTTGATTATTTAGTTCTTAATAAATTCATATTTGGATGAACAAAGTGAGGGAGAATATAATACATCAAAACTAGCTAGAAACCAAATCTGTCAGAGATGGTAGAATCTTTATGTTTGCAAAGATGAATTATAAACTTGTACCCTCGATGCTATACCAGTAGCTGCATTCAAAACCGTATGTACATTACAGAATAATCAGAAAAAATACATGTAACTGATAACATCACGAATTTTATTTCGTTTCCACGAATTTTTATTTCGTTCCAACGAGTTTTATTTTGTGGCCACAAATTGAAAAAAAAATCTCATACCATGTCCTTCACAAGCTACCGTAATTATCTCAGTGGATAGGGGCATTTAAGGAGGCTCACACATACATGTAGCAGAAAAAAGAAAGGGACATGGTTCTTTTCTCCTATGATTTAAAACTGTTGTATTAAAGATTTTAGATGAATGAAAAGTGTCAGACATACGGTGAAAATGATTTTACAAAGGGGCAACTAATTTTAAGCAGGGGTTTAAAAGGCATTTTCATGTGTATGCAACCTAAATTCTAGATAGTTATATAATCTTCCTACTAAGTTCCTAGACAAGTAATAGTTAGGTAGTTACTTAGTAATAATATTCAATAAACATCGGGATATTATCATTTCCCCAGCAATACAAGTCCCTTAAAACCAAGGTTTAATCTAGTTAAAAACAAGAAAGTCCCCAAATTCCGTCAAAGATCATTTAAGCGGAAAAAATGCAAATTTTATTTTTAATTCAGCAAGAAAAACCCGCATACAAAAAATTACGCAGCTCAATATTTGCAAATGTTTAGAAAAAAGTGAAGAAAAACAAGTGGCACATGTGAACTGAAACGTCTGAAAGAGTACAGCTAGACAGACAGACACAGACAAAATCTACAGCTCCCTCCAGTGTCACCGGTAGGAAACAAATAAGCTGATATCGGATCTACCTGGTAACAAGTAAAAAAAATAACAAAAAAATAACAAACTGTAAAATACACAATGCATTTTATGTCGCAGACTCCCTGTAAAATACGCAATGCATTTTCTGTCGCAGACTCCCATATACAGTGGACCTTCAGATATCCGGACGCCAGATATCCGGATGCTTCAGTAACCGGACGATTTTTCATCGGAACGAAATTTTTAAATGTTATTCTTTCTTGTTCAACTGGCGATTCAGATATCCGGATGCTTCACATATCCGGACAAATTGACTGGGAACCAAAGTGTCCGGATAAATGAGGGTTCACTGTACATATAGCTTAATCTATACGTGGAATATTGCAACAAATTCCTTCCCGTTTACTTCAATACATTTCTCTTAACAGTGGAAAAACTTATAAACAAACTCGTTTATACTTTTTAAAAGAGTCTTACATTGTACAGTGTAAGTGTATATATGCGGCAAATATTTGAATTTTCATACATCGGTATAAAAATTAAAGGGGGGGGGGGGGGCAATTCATCTGTCCGAATTTACCCAAGCGGAGAGCTACAGACCTTCAGCTTTTGTAACCCTAGATCAGCATTGTAATAATTAATTTAGTCAAGAGTTTACAAAAAATAATTTTTAAACTTTAACTTGAATCTCATTGTCTGATTTCATTTCCTGTAGGATACTTTAAACATTATATAGTGACATCCTCCCTTTATTAGTTCATAATTTAACTAGAAAAAAAACTAGATCTACCACAGTTTGATCAAAAAGATTTTAGAGTGATGATTCTATTTCACTCAAAGTACACATGTATTGTAGCCTCATGTTACATAATGACAATACCAAAACAAAAATGGGTTTTCCATCGTACTATAAATACCGGTAGATATTTACATGTACGAATGAAAAAAAAATGGATACAGTTAGTCATATCGGTGAATCAGAATCATTGATTTCAGTAAGAATTTAATTCAATGATCATTTTATATATTTCCTAACTATAAGACGACTGATTATTGAGATACTTATGAAATTGGTATTTTATGAGGAAAAATGATTAGGGCCTGTCAATCTACAAGTTCATGAAATATTTGTAACGTACGACAGATTCACATTTTTTCACTGTCAAATTATGATTTAAGGTTTTACAAGAGGCTTTAGACCCTTCAGCCCCAGGGTTTCAGTTTCCAATTCTGTAGCTATAAAATGGCTTTGAGTTGCAAAAAGGAAGGAAAGTATAGCTTGCACCCCCGGCCATCCTCAATACATGTATGTAGAACCTCATTTTTCATAATATTAATTTTGTGTGAACTTTTAAAGAAAAAAAAAACAATTAGAGCAAGTTGTTAAGTGAGAACAGGTACATTGTTTCTGCAAGGATGAATCTAGGATGTCTTTGTGCTCTCGTCATCCAGAACTTGTGTTGTTGTTGTTTTTTTTTTTTAATCTCATCCCAGATAGCAAGCTTACGTTGGCCCAATGTTGGGCCACCGTTGTAAGTTACGTTGGTCCAATGTCGGAAAATGATATTGGGCCAATGTAATTTTGCTCATCGGCGCAACGTTGCGCCGACATGTTGGCGCAACGTTGGCCCAATGTCATAGAACGATAATTCTGACGTTGGTCCAACGTTGGGCCACTGTTGTCAGTTAGGTTGGCCCAATGTCGGAAAATTTATATTGGGCCAATGTAATTTTGCTCATCGGTGCAACGTTGCACCGACATGTTGGCGCTACGTTGGCCCAATGTCATACAATGATAATTCTGATGTTGGCCCAATGTAGGCCCAACGTATTTGTGCTCCTACATGTAGGCGCTACGTTGGCCCAATGTCAAACAATGATAATTCTTATGTTGGCCCAATGTTGGCCCAACATATTTGTGCACAAGGATATTTGGAAATCTATGGAATTCCATGGAAATCTAAGAAATCCCAGGAAGATACAATGAAAACTGAAATAATGATAACATCAAAATTTATCATAGATCAAATCTATATTTTCAAAATTAAAAAAATAGTTTCTTTTACAATGTGTTTTTAAACAAATATTACATATACACTTATATATGTACAATGTAAGCACATTTTTTCAAAGTATTCTCACTGATCGACATTTTTTTGTAATAAAACAAACTGTTTCTTTTTTAAAATATGGCATTTGACTTAATGACATTGGAAGAGGTCATTGAAACCTCAACGGGATATACAGTTACAGTGAACTTCCAGTTGCCCATGTACATTTACCGTACAAAGTTAATGACTAGACTAGAGTGACAAACACATGTATTAAGTACAAAATATCCACTACACAACTATATTAATAAGAAGATCCCATAAAATCAACACATGCTATTTTCCCCGAATATGCCAAAGATCCTAATTAAGTTAGATTCGAAATTTCTCAAGTGTCTGCTTGAATCACTTCCTCACTTATATCCCATGAAATTCACAATAATAAATAAATAAAAGATGGCGTTATGTTAGAGGGTAGTCAAATAACTGGTCATGTCACGAACGGATTCACTTTAAGTAGAAAGGCTCAGAAAGTTCAATGATGATCATTCCCATAGACACTTCAAACTTTTCTGGCACAATTTCTGAAACAAAAGATGACCATTAGGATGTATTATCATCGATATCTTTCGCATATATATTACAAATAATAAAGTAAGGCTCAACAAGTCTGTTAAAGACAATTGGTTATTTCAACCTGACAGTTCAGTATAGAGTAGAATAGAAATTCACTATCTTGCAGTGTTTTTTTTTGGGGGAGGGGGTTCAAATTAGGATAAATTCTGATAAATGTAAAAATGAGAAGTTTACAGATGACCGACGAATACCAGACACTGATGAGAAAACTCGCTTTGGCCTTAAAATGGCTCAGGTGAGCTACAGGAAAAGGTTAGAGCTAGAGCTAAAGCTCTATGCCTGACTTACACTGAATAAGATATGATACATTAATTTCAATTCATGTGATTTTATTGCTCTAATCAGAAAATTTAAGAAATCTTACCTCTGTGTTAATTTTCATACTGGTTTTGTCCTTCTTGTGAGCATTCAGATTCCTGTAAATATTAAATGCATGTATAATTGTGCATCATAGAATATGATAGCTATTTTTAATAATTTATACTTAAGTATTTATGTAAAATAATTATGCATAGCTGTGCAAGTTATAGCATGTTTAGATTACCTGTCAGAATCCATTGTTATGTATTTGTTAGATAGAATGTTCTATCGTTAAAATGATATTGTCCTACGGACCCATTCGTAATGTAGCAAAAAGAAACACGGGCGATAACTCGCATAGTGCATTTACTAGGAACAATCTAGAGAGTTCCGAATGTAAACATGGCAGGTAATTTGAATGGAGAGAAAAACGTTGAGAAAATTAATTGGATTTTCGTATTTAAATGGATTATTTTTTGGGACAAAAGGCATAAGCAATCTCAAAAAGGTTTGTTTTGATTATTTTGGTAGTAATTCCCAGTGCAAATCATTTTATATTCTTCAAAATCGTTTCGGAGCGGATCCGCTCCGATTTGCTACATTGCAAGTATATGGGACATATTCTAACTGTGGTGAGGGCTTGTACCGAGACTCAGTTAGATTATTCTAACTATGTAGGAGAAGGAAATTAAGAAAATAAACCTTTTGTTTACTTGGTATACAGTGGATGCAATATCTTTATAGTTTTGAAAATTTGAGCTGGTTCTCACCATTTTTACAAGCTGACTATTCGCCGGCGCTGTGGGAATCGTCTCGGGCACAGTCCACTGCATGCAACTATTTAAACAATCAAAATAAGTGCTGAAAATGATCTTGAACATGCATTTAAAAATAAATATATTTTATTACATTGTACAACATACTCTGTAAATGTTGAATAGAGGAACACTGAAATTCCTGAATCGATCCGAAACGAGGAAATTCGGGTTGAAATCCATCTTTATGGATGATGTTTAGAAGTGTTAAAATATTTTAACAAAATTGAAACAGCGCTTGCTCAAACGATTTCACTGCCAGACATTTTATGTGTAGTGTCCTGACTAAGGAATAGTAGTAGAAGCAATTATTCATTAAAGGACACATGTCATACTTTAAAAAATATTTTGTACATTGTATTTACCGCAGTACCGGGTCGTAAAACGTCTTCATCTTCTGTCAAAACAGAAATTCGATCCAAGCTAGTCATGATTCTCCTTTTCGCATTACTCTCTTCCAAACTTTCCTTCTGTACATGGCTGCGTGGAACCCCCCAAAAATCAAAAATTTAAATTTCGGCGCGGTGTGTTGTTTAAATTAATTGCTTATCGAGCCCGACTTCGAGCCCGATGTAATTGTACTATTAGTCGATAGTTTTAGAGAAAAATCTAAGTTATTTTCCATACTTTTGAAAATCTACGTAAGGATTGAATATTTAAAAATGAATAAATAAACAAATAAATAAAAAATAAAATAAATAAATAATTTTTTAACGTTTCAACATTTAAGTTGGTTCAACAATGTCGGGCCAACATTACAAAGATGTCCATACTTCAACATTAAAAATAACAATTAATGTTCAGGCACGTAGCAACAGGGGGGGGGGCTGATCCCCCCCCCCCCACTTTTTTCCCCAACATTACCTTTACTACAGAAAATGTCCATTGAAAAGATGCCTCCGTCCCCACTTTTTACCACAGTATAGTGATATCAAGGAAAAATAGCAAAAAAAAAGTGAAAGGAAGTTGAAAAAAGTTGGCCACTACCCCCCCCCCTCCCGTCCTTTTGCTTGTCAACTTTTTCAGGTAAGTAAAAATTCTGTGGTTGCCCCACCCCCCTTTCAAAATCGAAGCTACGTGCCTGATGTTGGTCCGACGTTGGAACAATGTCAGTGCACCAACTGTTGTAATGACAATGTCGGACCGATGTTGGTACAATGTCAATGCACCAACTGTTGTAATTACAATGTCGGACCGATGTTGGATCGATGTCAATACACCGACTGTTGTAATGACAATGTCGGACCGATGTTGGCCCAATATCGTTCTGCCAACCGCGATATGTAGCCGATCTACCGACCATATGCCAACATCGGCCCAACGTCAGCTTGCTATCTGGGATATTCCCAAAAATTTTTTTTAATGATAATAATAAAATGAAAAATACAAATCCACCTTGTTATGTCAAATTTAAAAAAGTTGTCCATATAATTTTGAAGCGATATGAGCAGAAACAAATCGATAAAAATAACCTATTGCAGATTTATTCAAAGCAGGTGCGTGTGAAGGATTTGATCCGCTCCCACTCAAAACAAAAATGGCGTCGTACAGCAGACCCTTCGTACTCATCGTAATTTCGTGAAATACCTCAAGTGGAAATAGTATTGTGGATAATTTCGTATAATATCATTGCATGCAGGAAAATATTCATTTGATTTTTCACCAAAACATGACTGATCCTATAAGGAAAGTGGAAATCCAGTCGAAATTTCTATGGCATGTCCTGTCAGCAGTGACACACGACTGAGCTATTTTGACTTGAAATATATATATAAAAATATATATATATATCAATATTGATGGTTTGAAAAACTTGTGTAAATTATGTTTCTTGCTAAAAAATTACAAATAACTACTGTTTGACAAGAAGCAGCTTGTATAACATAACATACCCGTCACATTGTTAATCCGGAAAAAAAAAACAGTTTGATCATGATCAATCGAGTTTTGTAAAATGTACACGATTTTTTTCTTGATTTTTTTAATATTTAAACATGAGCGACTGAGAGTACCACGAAGATTTTTTATACAAAGCAAGTACTTATGTATTGCTCTCAAATAACAAAATATCGTAGTGGTACTCTTAGTCGTTCATAGTTCTTAGAGCGTAAGAATGCTGAAAATACTGCATATTCTTAATATTTTTCGTGATAATGCAGAAACAAAGTCCTATAAAATTCATTTTATGGACGAATGAGAAGAAATCTAATATGTTTTATAAAAAGTAGGTGTTTCCATCTTTCAAAAGACTGGGGTGTCTTTTTATATACAAGTAATCTATTTTCTGAGAAATTTGGGGGCCATGCGACATTACTTGTCTTATCTTATTCTTTTATTGTTTCATTTAAGAGAAAAATGTTATCTTTGCTATTTATATGTCTTGGAAGTAAAAAAAATTCAGTTAATTATCAGCTACATATTTAAAAAATGAATATAATATTTTTAAGTCGTTAATATATTTAAAAAAAATGAGAAGCTTATAACATTTGAAATAGCAAATAACTATAGGTCTGTATAAACATGTTTGTGTAATTAGCTGAGAGAGTTAACAGATGAGAGCTTTGACGATATATTTAAAAATTGATTTTGGGTACAAGGAGTTGAGCCTGTACGGTCCAAGAAAATGATTCTTTGGCAAGCATTTGTCTACTTTTTTTTATCAAAAGGTATATTGATATAACTATATATTTATGTATTATATCAGATGCTACACAGGATTTTGTAGACGATTCCGAAAACTGTAACTAGAAACCATAAATCCACAAAATTTGGTAATGTCTGAACTTTGGCATGATATGGGTAACCCAGCTTCCCTTTTAATTTTTTTTCTTCAGTATAATTTTATTTAGTTTTTCATTCCTTCTTATGTAAAAAGCATTATTTGAGACCTAAAAATGCTTTTCACAAATACATAATATTTTTTAAATATTTTTTTTATATCGTAATTCGATTGATAGAGAAGTTTGCTCGTAAATGTGACATGTGACAGTAATATGTAGAATGGTTGTTACAATTGTTTGAAGGGGTCAAAAAGTGTTGAAAATATATGCACCAAACATATTTGCAATGTATATCTTTATCTATACACATCATCCCTAAATTTCTCACGAAATGCACATTCTTTGAACATGTTGAAATGTTTAGTTTCGCTGCGTGGTTAAATTCAAGATCCAAAGTGGTTTAACTTGGTTAAAAGGGTAATGATTAAAAAAAACTTGAGTTTATAATATTAATACATTTGAATGACGTGGGTCTTGGTGGATTTCTAAATAGATTTTTTTTATTCCTGACTTTCCTGTTCTTCAGAATAATTTTTCATTTCTTTTTTTCTTCAATATATTCCCATGAGAAATTTGTATCGCCCTGTGATCACGAATTAAACAACCTTATTTCCAACTATATATTTTAAATTTCACATAATATTTATTTTTTTCTTCTTGAGTCGTTATAAATAATAAAATTAAAAAAAAAAAAAAAAAAGATTTGATGATAATTTTGTCTGAAACAAACAATGTTTTTAAGATGGCTCCTATCTTTATATTTTTGATATTTTTGAATAAAAAAATTTACACGATCAATTTATCTGTTTTCTTTTACAAGAGATTAACACCGTTATGTTTTCAATATTTTTTTTTTCATGTAAATTCATTTCTGTAGAATGCAAATATAGATAATATTCCCAATAAGTTAACAGAAAAAAAATCCTTACTATTTCTATAAATTTACAAATGGCATAGCTATACATGTATCTATAAATTAATAAATTTGCTAATCATTTCCGAAACGCCAGCACCAGAGTTCATACTTTCTCCTCTTGGAATAAGCTAAGTATAAGGTGATGTCCATAAAGTATATTCAGAATTCACTCACATAATTTTCTTGTATCCTGTAGTGATAATAGAAGGTACAAATTAATTTATTTTTGGGTTTAATACAAAACGCTTATATAAGTTAATACTCCGCTAAACATACCCGCTCTACGGTGCTCCATAGACAAATTGAATACAAAGAGAAAGGCCTTATCAATTCTTATGAAATGATTCAGCCAAAAATACATACGACACAGTGATATGTTTTATTTTTATGTCGTAAATATAAAATAACAGATCTACCAGATTTCAAAAGATATGAAATCCCTGCAACGACAACCTTTGTGTAAGGTGAGTTGCCTGCTTCTGTACAGTCTGTATAACTTACCGGTTAACATCATGCCATCGGAACAAAATTTTAAGTATATATTAGGATTTCAACAAATTGAATATTTGGGCTCTAGAGTCTACATAATGAGAAAATCACGCATCGTATTACTATATATCAACTGCGGAGAACCTGTGTGTAGAATAAGTGTTTTTAATTAAGTAATTTTGTTGATGACTAATCACATGTGAAAATATCCTAGCACGGATTTTTTATTGAAGAATGATCGTTTGTCTATTTCATTAAGAAATTTAGTTCTCTATCCCCCAGCTTTAAAAACGGACGGGTATGTAGTAATTAAAATGTCCATCCGTCGTTGATCTGTAGTACTGTACGTCTGTCCGCCGTCCATCTGTTACGCATTGGGATACCCCTCTCATACCACTGAATTAAATTCAATGAGACTTTCAGATAATCTTTCTTTAATAATGACATTATGTAACTCCTATTTTACTTTTTATTTCTACACATACATGTATTTTGGTTTTCTCATAGCAAAACATGGACACTGTCATTATATTCTTGCCAATGATGTCAAGTGTGGTAACTTTTGAATAACATGAAACATAACGAGTTGTTCCTCTTTCCACGGTACTGTAAAACAATATATATACATGTAGAGAGATTCTGGGTTTCCCATAGGAAAACATGGACAGTGTCCTTATATTCATATGGGTTGCGGGGAGTACCCTTATTTATTTTTTTTTTCATTTTTAATCATATAGTGTTGAAAAGTCGTGCGTATTGACGATATACACTTTTGCAACAAGAATACATGTATGACTTTATTTTTCTAAAAGGTTTAACGGGTTTCTTGTATTTAAGATTCTATTTAATGATTGATATCAGGTCTTCATTTTCAGTTATATGAGTACATTTTACCAGTTACGGCGTGTCCAGCGGGAATTTAGTAGTAAAAAGAGCAAGAACACTCATTATTATAAAGGGGGTTTAGATGTCACTGTCTAGACATCGTCGGGTTCTTTTGTAATTGATTCATTGATTGTATAGAATATCTTGCGTCGTGCAGACTTCAATTCTAAATACATGTATAATCAAATACAAGACTGAACTTTCCTTTACGACCTTGATTGACAAACGTAAGAAACAAAATTGTACATTCAGAAATATTATTCAACACACATGGCGGGTTATAAAGCCTTTGCTGGAGAATATTCATAATCAACAACTTTAGCTTGTCGTCTACGATTGAAAAAAAAAATAAAGATCTATTTGCATGTTTTAGGTTCTTTAAAACAATTCATTCGAAAGGATCAAAAATTCAAATTTAATTTAGTGCAAATGTGACGTAGACCTAATTGTTTATTTTCGTAACCAAAAGTAAAAGTGAATCAAAAGAATTGGTTTATGGTATTACCTATGTCCATGACTTTTCTTTGATAAAATTTCCAATCACATTCACATCGTCAAATGGAGGACTTGAATTGTGTTAAGGCAAGTTATAGAAGTTTCTATACAAAGGAAATAATCAAAAACATATAAGGGTTACACACCTATATCCATTTTACGAAAAAGGTAAGAACTTCAACTTCTAATACAAAATTATTAATTATGCTATGGGAAAGTATATATGTACTAATTATGATGACATACTAGTATTTTTATATCATTGTCCCTTTTTCTATACACGTATTTAAGAACAATACAATAGCTTCGATGCAAGGAAATACTTTTTTAAAAAATTTCATAGAAGCAAGGTATAGTTACATTAAGCGGCTGAATATTCTATAAATAGATAGGATTGATCTTTAAATGTCAACATTTCATTGCTTAATAGCTCCTTTACATAGGCGTCGAAACCAGGGGGCTAGAGGGGGGTAAGCACCCTCCCCCACTTTTTTTTGCAAAGATAGACATTATATAGGCATTGAAAATTGAGGAACACTCCTTTAATGTTGGTTTAGCACCCCCCCCCCCCCCCCATTTTCAATCTGCTTTCGATGCCAATGCTTTAAACGTTTTGAGTTCAAACAGGGTAAAGATTCACAGTCTGGTGAAAGTTACTAAATTCTTATCAAATCAGAAAATGCATCATAAGGATTTGTGCAGCAATTTTATGAATCTTCAGAATATTCATTTAATAATTATATATTTTTTATCCAAAAAAAGTTAAGATATACCCTTGCGCCAGCGCTGTTTTGTTGATATCTCTTTTAATTCGTGTTGTAGAGGATAATGACATCATGATATAACATTATGTGTAATGGCTATGACACATTAAGGATATAAATGATTTATAAGAAAATGAATTAAACTTTACCTGTAAAAAGTATATTCTTATGATTAATTTTTATTACCTCATTTTCAAAAATATACACCTGTTCACTGAGGACAATATGGAGACGATATCAAGTTTATTGTCCCCCAATTTAACGAGGCCCAACAGTTGATGTCGACGGGGACAAAAAACTTCTCATTGTTTAAAAAGTCAGTAAATAGTCGTTGCTTTACACCGAAACCGGCTTTATTTTATTACATCACAAGTCGTGTTCGTCACAATGCCACAAACTCAATAGGCAAAAGACATTGCCTAGAACTTATACCTGAGATTTTCTCTGAGTGAATTTGTTTTCCCAATATGATTGAGATGTAGTTGTACATAGATCCACTTGAGGAAGAAATGTATAGGTTAAATGAATAAATTAATTATTTTTCTAATGTACAAATGTAATTGTATCGATAAGTAAATAAGTTTTAGAATTTAATATAACTCGCGGATATGAAAGGATGTAGAAATATGATTGATTGATTGTATATTGTTTAACGTCTCTCTCTAGAATTTTTCACTCATATTGAGACGTCACCGTATGCCGGTGAAGGGCTTCAAATTTTTACCTTTACTCGGCACTTAGGGTCATTGAGCAGTGACTGATCTTTATCATGCCAACGCCTGCCGCTGACACGGAGCCTCGGTTTTTAAGGTGTCATCCGAAGGACCCGCAACTTTCACTTCAAAGTGCCGAGCGCATGGCGAAGGAACAGTCGCTACCCATTTTTTATCGACTTAGGTCAGTTGCGGCCGAGATTCGAACTCACGACCTCCCGATCACAGGTGTAGAAATAGTAATACATTTAACAACGATGGCTTTTCTTCTTCCTTACATGTAGTATGCCCTATGAATATCTGAATTTTTGGACAACATATATACTGTCAGATTATCTATTAAAGTCATGTGATATTTATACTTGTATTTATAAGTGTAAATAAAAATATCCCTTGACATTTTGTTTTCATTGTTCCGTTTTTGAAATATGTCAGCTAAAGGACTCTGTCTTCCTTGTAAGGAATGTACTTTTAATCTTAAGAAATGGCTCACATATCAACTCAAAACCTTTAAAATACTTGTCAATAAAAAAAAGCAATAATAAATTCAGAGGCCAATATTGTTTACCATTGTACGATGATGGATGTCTTTCTTGATACTAATTCGAATTCAATATCAATGACTTGTTATATACATTCATCTTTTCAAACAATCCATACCAATGATTTTTCTAGTCGCATACTTTGTTATGTCCACCAAGTATGTCGTTGATGATGGGTTGTTTATGATTCCTGATATTACTTCCGCAATTTTCACTGCTGTGCTCGCTTTTATATTCTTTCGAATAGTGAAAAAAAAACATTTTTCAAATTTCATACAATGCTCTTGAAGTAGGTAGAAAATGCAATACCGATTTTTGAATAATCAATTAGAATTGATGACCTTGAATAATAAGAATAAACAAAGAACATGGTTCACTTTTGCCTTATTTGGCCCTCTGAGTTTCTGAAAAACTGAAACTGCATAGTTTTAGTTAACAATGCATTGAATAGCACTTAGATGTTTGGTGACTGCGTATCTATAAAAAATGACGTGATTTTCTGGCTAGTAAATGCATTATGACGTCTCAAAATGCGTCAATTTCCCCATATTCTGAAAAAAGTCTGCAAAAACGGACAATTTTTCAAGGTATGTTTCTATATTTAATATAGAGCGCAACCGCTGATCTAGTTAAAATTACAAATGGAAATATCGGCGATTTTCTAAGATGAAAAATACATACTTTATTAGGATGGGCGATTCTTTTGAAGGACTTCACTGATATAAAAAAAAAAAAACGTAATATGGTTTAAATCTACATGTTGGGGACATATAATTTTTTTATTTAGACTTGTCATGTGATGTCGACATCACATGGTTAAAGCAATTATACTTGCAGTTTAGAGGTCATCTATAAATTCCAATATTGCAAGGGAGTAACCAAGTTAAGAATCTTAGTTTAATTTATAATCCTTTTCAACACAATACGTAATTTTTGAAAAGTGCTGCGAACCTATATGGCTTCCCTCTTTAAATTGCTAAAATTTAATTTGTTGGACGACAGGTTGAATATTTTGCTGGTCAACTACATAAAATATAGCTATGATTAATTTGCTTGCAAGATTTCATGAGGTTTGCGGCACTTTTCAAGCATCTTTGAGTTTATGTATAAAAATTTGGCAAGATACATAGAGGGTAATCCCTTGCAATAAATCGATTTATTAGGGCCCTTCTATTACCTTTTCAATGAATCTGCATAAAAACACAACAGTATCACTTGTCTGGAGAATATACGGGCAGTTAATAAATAAAGTACTAAAATAGACATCGCATCCAAGTTTATGACCTTTTATTTAACTGCAAATAATATTTTATTTGATAATAAAAGTCATTTTTCATTGTACAAAATGTGATTCGATCAGCCTTTCACTGTGTACAAACTGCGTCATTTTTGCGAGATGATGTCACATTGACAAGTACATTGCAATCGATGCATCGTTTATATACTGTTGTTTTGGATTTAAAAGACGACGAAACTGCATGTATTAGTAAGCTTTTATGTAGTATACAGTTATCCAGCTTTTTGAAATAGCAAATAATTTATGTTGTGGTGTTTTGAGGAACTTATATCTTGTGTGACATTATAGTAAACATTTCCCGTACAAATTAGGCCCCACCTTCTTACTGTAACCTTAACTGTGCTCCGAATGTGGAACTACTAAATGATAGAACTATTTCTGGGGATTAAAAGACATGTTTTATTTTTTAGATCAGCGAGTGCTCTGATATAATTTTTCTTCAGTGAAAGTACTCAATTATACCTTATCTTTAAATTCAAAAACACTACAATTTCATAAAGCCAGTTCTCCAAGACCTGTACTGTTAGGAGAATTTTTGCAATAGGAAATGAAAACACAAAGTCTTTATTTTATTACAATTCTTCAGATGGAAAAATCATGTGTTAGTCAATCAATTGGTGCATGTATCTACAGGGCCATTTTATGCATAAAGTGAACCGAGCTCTTTTACTTCCTAGCCTTTGTTTTTATTATCTGCATATATATATGTATAAGTTTGTTTTTATTTGTACATCTTTAACTTAATCTTATCGTGTTGACATAAATTTATCTTGTAAAAACTAATTTATGATGCTGTGCTCACCTTTTCAGTAGCTGATTTATAACATCCCTTAAACCTGTTACAATTCTCCTTAGAACAAGTGCAGTATTCTCTGCATCCTAATCCAAATGTTGGATATCTACACGCTACACACAGAAAAAAAAACATCATAAAGATAGTGTTCATGTTTGTTTTCTTTATGGCTAAGTTCAAATAATTAAACTTACGCAAACATATATTTTCTTCTTTAATGTATTCAAATCCTCGACAGCACATCAGCAGACTGTGAAAAAAAATCATTTTATTAATCTATTAAATGTATTAATCAACTTTCTGAAATCAACAAATCGTGATCGTTATCAATAGATCCACCTATTTTAAGGGTTGTTTTGGATAACAATAAACGAAGTCAAAGAAAATAAAAAAAATATTTTCTCTATTATTGAGTAATGCATCATACATATATCCATTTTACTAGTCAAAGTTGTTGTTGTTTACTTTCGTTAGTTATTTATAAGTTTAATAACAACATGTGCATGATATCAATAGATGTACATGTAAGGAGCCAATTGCATATTCATGCCAGTGCAATATGACAGAACAAAACAAACAAACGATGTAAGTTGATATCAATATCTCTACGATAAAAAAGTATGTTAATTCCTTATACATACCCGTCACATCGACCATCTTGACCACTGGTCGTTATTAAACAAATACACGTGACAACAATAAATTCCATTAATGTGAACATCGTGAATGATAGGTATATGTCTTGTCATCCTACATTTCCATTTGATATAAGCAGGAAACATACATTGTATTTATAAACTTCGTGTAGATAAATTATGTCGATTTTTATTATTTTCTAATTCACAATTGAGGAACTCTGCAATAAGGAAATCCTCTCTGATGTTGATCCATCAGATCAGATTTCATTATCTTTTCTTCAAACTTTGTGAACTCAATTATCCTCAGTTACTCAATGTATAATTAAATCTTTTTGTTTTATTAAAGTTTTCATGATCTACAGAGAAGTACTGTGCATTTACTCAAAAGTAAACTATATAAATGATTTGTTTTATTTCAGCATGAGTATTTTCTTCTTTTCAAATAAATGTATTCCACTTTTCAATTTCAAGTTCATAGAAGATATATTCAAAATTAATTTCGAACTGACAATTTAATTGAAGCTTAGCTGGTTAAGCTGGAAAATTCAACGAAGGTTTTAAATGAGTATGGATCCGTTTGCTTGGAGCCTCATGAAAAAACAGTGCATTTAGTTTTACTCATTACATGTAATTGTTTGCTCAGAAAAAAAACATTATGAACAAGTCATAAAATCTTGAATCCTTTCAAATGCGGTAACTATGTTTAACAGTTTTGTTTATCTCTTCAAATAAAAAAATCTCTGCATTTGAGTTAAGACTAGATGCTTTGATTGGAGTTTCTACGCAATTTAGCTAATAAAACGCAAACATACAATATCAGATGCAGAAAAATAAGTTTTCTTGATACACATCGTTTCATCCTCTTTCATCGCTAGGTTATGAGGTCGAATCTCGCCATGACTGACCTTATTTGAAAGGAAATGGTAAAACCGAAGATCTGTGTCACGACAGGCATTAGATCGATAAATATCCCTTATTGTTCAATCACCCTGAGTGACGAGAATACTAGGTAAAATAAATGTCCTTTCATCGGTACATGTATATAGTGACCAATCAAATTTGACAATAATTTTCGTTGTTTCGATGTTTTCGAGTTGAAGGCAACAGCAAGTGTTTTCTTCTTTTCAAGCATAAGATTTTGCACAAATCTTCAAATGAATACAAAAAAGGTCTGCTAGTAACTGGGGGCAATTGGTACCCATGGGAATCCCAATTGATTGTTGGAAGACCTGGTCTAAAAAACACTTATATAGTGTTATTCAGAAACTCAAGCATTTTTACATCAAGTTTGAGGGTACTTGTGTGTACGGCAGAATGCGTTTCAAGAATATAATTTTACAAAAGACAAATGACAAGGAAAGTTGATATAAGAGTTCCATTTTTCATTAAAAAATGCAGCTGCCAGTGATATCAAAAAGGTAGGATTTCAATTTATAATGGGGAAAGGATGTGTACAATGTTGGAAAGTCGAAAATTTTTAAGCTGTTGATTTTTTTCTAAAATCTTCTGATTTCAAATTGTCTAAATGTTCCTTGGAATTTTTAAGTATCCACATCTTTTTTACACCATTTCTTGAATATATTGTCTTTAAGTTCCACCTTCACTATTGTTCTGAAAAAATAAGGGTGGTTTTCTTTGAAGCTTACTGTTCTGTATAAGCAATGCAGAAGGGGAATGTGGTGGGCGGAACGACATGTATTTGGCGATCTGTATTATCCCTGTATACTGTCTTGTATTAGACAATTATTCTTTATCTTAAATACCACATGGTCAAAAAGTAATATTAATTCTGATTCAATTTTTAAAAAGCAAATATAAATAGTACATTCTGATATATTCCTATTATTAATTTTGGAGAAATATTTCCCTGGGAATGAAAAAAAAATTCTTCACTTTTTAAAACTTATTCCTCACAGAATCTACACGTACTTTCGGTCCAAACTAAAAGTTGAATTAGCAATAATAGAAAACATCCTTTCTCGTCGAACAAACTCGTACAAGTCCATTTTTGCGTTTTATTTTTAAAAACTAAAAATAACAATTTTATCAATAAAGATGGAAATGTTTTCATAGCAGTTTTATTCAAAAATCAAAATTTCAACCATATACTGTTGAGTAAAAAAGAGTAATTCAGATTTAACCAGGGATGTGTCTCACTTACAAATCTATAAACTTGAATTTCATATCAACATTGCCATTCAAAGCTCTTTGGTTTGTAACTTTGCTTTCGAAATATTGTTCTTCAGTGTTTTGTCTATTTTTCTCAAATAAAATAACGAGTTAAGTTACTCGAATTGTCATTCCAACTACCTACAGAATACATTTCGAGGCAATCTTCTCCTGTAAGTGCGTTCGGTTCCCCTTTATACCAGTTTGTTAAGTTCAAGTTTTTGTATGTGTTTTTCAGTAAAATATGTCCTCAGAGTATTCATCTGTTCCCCCGATCTACCAATTATTCCAGAGACTGCAAATTTACAGAATATGTGTAGCTAACTGACATGTAAGTAAAATATTTAATGCATTAACGTGTTCTTAATTGTAATATTATTTTCATTAGTAACAGTACATGTGTTTTCTTTTTGTTTCCTTTTTCAGTAGTTCCGCCGAAATATGGCTAAAATATTACCGACTCGGCTTTAAAATACAAAAATCAATCAATCAGTCCTTTTTCAGTAAAAAGGAACCATCAATGATTAATGTTTTCCCCTTGTCTGAATAATTAAGTCTTAATTGATTAATTAAAAACTTTAATCAATCAAGAACAGCGGATTAATGTTATGTTTTTCTCCAATCCAAGTTTGTTCTGCTTAAGTTTTTATTGCCAGAAGATTTGCTCTCATCGAAATGCAGCTATCCTGAGAAGAAAAACATAAAAGAACACATCTTTTAGAACATCTATCTTTTAAAAAGATATAGATCGGATATTACAGCAAAAAGAACTGACTTCTCTTTTGATGCTTATGAACAACATTCTTGCATTTTGTTAACATTTTATGAAGCGCAATAATGGGTTATCCACGGTAATTTTTATACATATTATGGAGACCTGCCAAGAGAGTGAATTGCTTACAAGGCAATATCTTGTGTTCCCAATAACCTGCCATGATAAAGGAAATTCTAAATTAACATTACTCTATTTTTCAGTCAGAACTGTTTGTGTCAAAATTACCCATGCAATAATATGACCTGAAAAAAATTAATATGAATCTAAATTTTAGTCCGTATTCATGTATCTTATGATAAAAAGACAGCTGATTTTCAAATCCGTAGGGATGGTGCATTACTAAATATTTAAATCTAATTAAGTAAATTCTATTACTTTTTAATGAAGATTTCTTTAAGATGTTTGATAATTGATTGAGTCGAATTTAATCTAGATTAAAAGCAGTTCTGCGTTCTTCTTTTCTGATTACAAAACGCATTAAAAATTTCATGAGAACAAAATGCAGTCAATACAAAATATATTGCTTTTAATTACAATTCTGTGTACATAATGGTTTTCCGCTAGTCAAAGTGGTGCACTATCCACTACAAGATGTCTCACAAGATCTAGTCAACTCCTGTAAAAATCATCTTTAAACACATTCACTCAATTTTATTTGAAATTTTAAGAATTCTTATTTATTACAATGAATTCTTATTTCCTTTGAATCCCTTAAAAAAACTTCAAATTTTAAAATCATATTTGACACTATAATAAATTGATGGATCTTTAGACATTTTGTTTGTTTGATTTATTCTTGCCCTTTTCATGCCAGAATCTATATTTTCTGCGACAGGAATCCCTTTTTATACAGTTTTTATACAGTTTCAAATTAAAGACTATAATAATTAAATGGAAATGAACAGCATTATTCAAGATAAAAAGTCCATTTAGCAATGCAAAATAGGAGCAGAGCAAACCTGGACCTTCAAGGGATCAAAGGTAGGATCAGGTGCAATGGAGAAGGGATCATCCCCTGCCGACCTTTCACATCTGTCGTGTACTCCTTGCTATTATCGGGATACAACGGAGAAACCCGTTTTCAATTCAGTGAACAACAATTAGTATGAAAAACGTCAGTCAGCATTTGACTCAATGATAAATTGTATTTGTTTACAAGGTTATTGTACCGATCATAGAAATTACAAAATTACGACTTAAAACGAGACTTCTGAATTTCTTGTTTCATCAACTTGTTTGTCAATAATTCACATCGTTTTAGAAATTGTCCATACGTTGAACAAACTTTTGCGTATCGAATGAATTGAGATATATAATCTCCGTATGCGGTTGATGAAGGTATTTTACTGCATCAGAGAAGGAAGTTGACGATTGTTATATTCAATTCATCACGTTTATCATGGAGCTTACTTGTTAAAATACAAGGAACGTTTTTTTTCAAATAATATATGCGAATATGAAACGTGTTCAAATCGGTGACATCTTGTATTTCAAGTTCATCCGGATATATCGTATTGAAATAAGAATGGAAATTACTATGATTGTTAATTGACAATACCTTGTCGATATATCTAAATATTGAAGGAGACAGCAAGTGTTTTTTATTCTTTTTTTTTGGTAAAAATTCTGTTTCATGCAAATACAAAAATAGGTCTGCTAATAGCAAGGCCCAATTGGTACCCATGGGAATCTTAATAGAATGTTGGAATATCTGGTCTCCAAATCCACATAGATACTTACAATCAGGAACTCAAGCTTTTTTTATGTCAACTTCGAAATCAAAAGTGAAAAATTCTCCAGAGGGACGTTAAACAATATACAATCAATCAACAGAGTACTTGTTTGTACAATCAGAATGTTTTAAACAAAATGATTTTGCAAGTGACAATGACAAGGTAAGTAAATTCACGAGATCCATATTTTTTGAGGTAGCAGTTGTCAATGATATCAAAAAGCCTCGATTCAAATTTATCCTGGAAAATGGTCGCATATAATGTTAAAAGTAAGAAATTTCTATGCTAAGGTTCCTTGGCATTTCTTAGTATCCACATCAGATTTTCACCACTTCTTGAATATATTGTTGCACAGTACTCTTGAAGATTTATATTCACTATTGTTAATATTTTTGTGAGAAATAAAGAAGAAGGATTGGTTAAACATTCACTGGAACCCGCTCTGTATCTTAGTATCATTTCTATTGGCGTGGGAAATCTAGTGAATCTTCGCGAAGTGGATTTAGAAACACTTTTTTCTGATTTCTTTCTCACAAATATTCATAAATTTATATTGATAAAAATTAATGTTTTTTTAGAATGACAATACTATTTTGATATTATTAAATATCATGTTTCGATCGATATCTAAAAATCATTATTCTATTGAAGACGATAAAATTTAAAGTAATAAAACATGCTGAGCAACAAAAATTGCCTTTAATTATGTAAAAACATCTTGTATTTAAATCCTCTGCAGCAGATCAAAGGCCTGTTTCATGTAATTGGAATTTGTTTTCATAGTGCCGATTTTCAGACGACAATTAAAATTTCTCCATTTTTTAATTTGAAAAGTTCATATCATGTTTATGTGTTTCAACGTGTATTTCCACATAAGTTTAAATTATTTTCTGGGCTCGAGATCATGAAACATCTTAAGCTTTAGTTAAATATTTATGTTGTATTTATATATCATAGCTAGAAGACATGTACTCTTAAATCAAATTAAGTTTCCACATCATTTTTCAAAAGAGTTGTTATCTGCAAATTTATAGAATAATTCAATTATAAACATTTTACAGGCATGTGAAAATTTGACTAAAGTAAGTCTGTTTCACCATATCGGGGCCTGATTTTACAGAACCTCGAGGTGAAAAAAAGCTGAAATTAGGAAATGATTGTTGTCTATATTCCAACAAGTATAAGATTATAACGCCATTACCAGGGCATCGGCCATCCTGTGCTCAGTTTAATTCACTTAATGTAAAAAGAAATACATATGTAAAGACTCGCATCTCTGGCAGCAAAGTTATGTGTAGTTTCGTGTACTTTTAAAGCAATGTTTTCTTGCAAAATGCCTGTCTTTTAATAATTTGAATCATCTATTTCAGTTGAAGGATTTTGTGGATCCTTGTTATGACGCCCTGTTCAAAGTTAATTTAAATACAATCTATATTGCGACTAAGAGTCTAAAGAGCAGTTTCCTGATTGATTAACTACAAAAAAAAAACTTTTCATTGTTCATTCGTTTCATTCTCTAACTGAATTAAGTCTGCAAAATTAAAATTAAATATCAAATTAAAAATATCAAAATAAAGATTGCAGATTTCTAACATGTACCGCAAAAAAAATAGTATACAAAATCAATTAATGAAATTACACAGCAGTTCCCTATGGCCTAAGAAATATGTTTATTGATTTACTTTCTATAGTACCGCATTCCCTTCAATTTTAGCTGAACAATACTCGTAAAAAGGCATAGTCCGCCATATTTCCCGTTCATCTACGCTATTCCTTACAACCCATATATAAGGAGCAGATCTCTTAACAGTCTAATGTATTTCGCTTAAGTAAGCACTTTATGTCTTGTCTACTTAGAACTGATCGGAATATCCATCCTCTCTAAACGTCTAAATTCCTCTTATTAAATGTAAAAACAACCATCTAGATGTCTTTTTTTTAATATACATGTGTAACAAGAAGAAATTGGCATGTGATACTTTATTTAAAGGTACATGGACACAGATCTGAAGTTAATTTTTCCTGTATAATATCACGACTTATTTATATGGATATTTCGTCGTACTTAGTAGACAAGGCATAAAGAGCTTACTTAATGGGTGATATATGTGAACTCACTGTTTTCAAACGGCAAGTAAATTTTCCACTTTCAGGGAGTTTTTTTCATGTACATCTAAATGACGTTTATTCCCGTCATCTTTTTTTCGCGACTCTTTAGTTTGAAACCGATTTGCCACGATTAATTTCCACAATATATGAAACATTCTCTCTACAAATGCAAATTAAAAGTCAAGGGTCTGCGCTGATTAAGTAAAAAAAAGCCGTTAAAGAAAAACCTTATCAAGCAGAAGTTACCTATGCGGTTTACGAGGGTTGTTCGATATGTATTGTGTATTGTACCACAGCGCGATAACGCCTTGCATGATTTCGTCGATATTTATACGCCTGCATAACTCTATTTAATACCGTGCCATCAGTATAAACACGAGCCTTCATCTACACATGGTTATAAAATACGTAATCGTCATTTCATTAGAGCCAGTCGTTGACCACTGTTGTAAAAATGGTTGGGAAAAGGGTTGAGAATATTGAAGAAATTAGAGCTCATATAAAAGTTCGCACAAAACTCGGTAATTCAGTAAAGCAGATTTTTACTGAATTGGGGGAAGTTTATGGGTCTGATAAGGTATCTTATGAGACAGTTCGTAGGTGGAGACAGAAATTTCTGACTGGCACAGAGTCCGTCAAAGATGCAGCAAAATCTGGTCGACCTGTGACTGTATCAGGCAAGACAAATGTCTCAAAGGTCAAGGAAATAATTGAAACTGATGGCAGGTACACGATTCGTGATATTGCCAAAGCTGTTGGCATATCGCTATCTCGGGTGCATTTCATTTTGAAGCGTATTTTGAAAGTACGAAAGATTTCTGCCAGATGGATACCCCATATATTGACAGATGACCAAAAAACAGGTACGAATACAAACCGCTAAGCGACTGCTAAAAATGTTTCCAAACTTCAATCAAATACAATTTGCAAACATAGTTACTGGTGACGAAACATTGGCTCACAATTTCGAACCAGTAAGAAAAGCTGGAAACAAATTATGGCTAACCAAACACGGTAGAAGGCCTGTAGTTGCCAAAAGGTCAATGAGCACAAAGAAGGTCCTTTATTGCATATTCTTCTCTTGTGATGGTTAAGCCGTACAAATTCCGGTGCCGAAGGGCAAAACTGTTACAGGTCGGTATTACTGAGATGTTGTACTGAAAAAGCTCAAGAAATATTATCAGAAACGACGTCTTGTGTCGGGATTTAGGCATGTTCGCCATCTTCATGATAATGCTCCATCACATACATCTGAGCTTGTTAAGCAATTGTTGAAGTCTGAGAAGGTTACCGTCTTGCCACACTCACCATACTCTCCGGATCTAGCACCATGCGACTTTTTCCTTTTTCCAAAACTTAAAAGTTCTTATCTGGTCAACGATACAAGTCCAGACATGCCCTTGGCTCAGCCGTCAGTCAGTGCCTCAGAGGTATACCTAAATCAGCGTACCGTGACGCATTTCAGAAATGGATTAATATTCAGAGATTAAAATTGTGTATTTCAAATCACGGAGAATACTTTGAAGGGATGATGTATAGAATGTCCATTTGACTATTTGAATCGACTGCTTTTGGGATGTCGTACAATACACAATACATATCGAACAACCATCGTATGTGTACTCACGAACCTCCGGGAAATCGGCAAAATATGGCTAAAATATTGCCGACTCGGCGTTAAACAATAAAAAAGTAATCAAAAAAGTCTAGAAATGCTATAGATAAAATAGAAGAGATGTCAAAAAACGAGCCATGCTTGTGTTCATTTCATGGTATAAGCGGTGTCTTTATGATAAAGACTGAATAAGAGGATGATAATTTATTTAAAAAACAAACCATCTGTAAATATTTGATCAAAACATTAGTAATTTATTTTATTTCTTGATTTTATTTTTAAAAGTCAGGCGCTTCACAGTTTCAAATCTTGTGAAAGTAGAGTTACATGTTTGCAATGGAAGCGGAATATGACATTGAAGAAGAAAAAAAAACTATTGAACGGATGTAATTGAAACAACTTTTAGCTAACTATGTTTTAAAGGGAATGTTTTAATTGGAGCACTGTTATTTTACATTGAGCACTGATTAAAATGTATAGGGAGACTAGTCATGAGAACCTTATAAAAGTATGTCAATCATTAGAAAAAATAGGATTTTCGTTACATAGATTTTTTTATTTTTAAATCTAAAATTTCCTTTTTTTTTTCTTAAAAAATATAATAAAGAAACTAAATATTTACCTTAAATCAGAATTGCCATTTAATGCTATGAAGTTACATGTATAACATTCATCGAAAAGTCTCTTACATGTACATGTATATTATTAATTTTTTTCTTTCACAAATATAGTAAAGATAATCATCACAATTTTCATCATTCCAAACACCCCCAGAAACCATTACGATGCAATTTTCACTTGACCCCCCGTTAGGATCATTTCTATTCCAGTTTGTGTAATTCAATGTGCTGTTAGAATGTTCCCAGTAAAACGTGCCCTCGGACTCTTCATCTGTTCCCCCAATCCACCATTTATTCCCAAAGCCTAAAAATTTGCAATATATGGAGATAAGCATGTATACAAAAGAAAAAAAATAATTGAATGTATAAATATTTGGTAATTGATTCGATAAACATTCAGGAAAAGATTTCACAAACGCATCTGTTTTGATTTTGAATAGAACAAACAGTCCAGAGTAGAATTTTTTCATTCACTAAGAAATACTTGATATTCATATCGTTACTGTTCTCTCCTAATTCTGGATCTGTTAGATACTTAAGGATGTACAACACACCTACCCCAAAAAATTCCTGTCGTTTAATTTTCGTTATTTTTGTATATTTAGTACATGACTACATCTACTGTATGTATGCACATTTTGGACAAAATCGTTCGAGTGGTTTTTGGACAGGAACTTCCAAAAGTTACCCCCCTTTAGTTGTTAACGAGGAGAGAAAATTTTTAATCAATGAACTACTTAAACCTTGATTTTCAAAAAAGCTAGGTTAGATATCAATGTCAAATTTCACTGGCTTATTCCTTTAACCATTTAACACAAAAACATCGTCATCTTTTTGATATACATATCATCAAAATAATTTTTAAAGACCTTAAACTGAAAAACTATGAATTATCTAAGCCTTGAAAATTGCGTATTTTTCAAATTCAAAATTTTTTTGTGAAAAAACCTGTCGTTTAATTTTGGTAAAAAACTTTATTTAGGTAGCTGGTAGTAAAAATAATCTTCGTAATTTTTTGTATAATTTTTGTACGACCAGTTTTGATTAAATAGCGGAAAATTACCCTTCCCCCTTTCTCAATAAATCACGTTCCCGCGCGTCTTTCAGACGGGGGTCGATCACTTTGTTATATGAATCTACAAATACACATTAAAAAAAATAAATTGGAATATTGCTTTTGCTTCAAAAATATATTAACTTACAAATTTAAAAGTTCTCATATGTAAAGCATATTTAAATGTAGATTTTTAGGCAATTTTTGAATACCCCTATCACCCCCACCCCTTCCTTTTTTTGCGACGCAGACCATTAGCGTTTGACGAAACGTCGTTTACAGTGCAAATATACTGGTATTTCGTCATATGAATCCCGGAGGTATGCATCAGTTCTTAAATTCATGAATGCAGAATAGATATTGACTACTCTTTTTATATGTATCAGGAAAAAAAAAATACTGAAAGATTTTAGTGTTTAGTCCATATATGTATGCGTTATGCATTTTTTTTAAAATCTTATAGGCTACGTTTTTTTTTGATTCGAGGAAATGCGAACCGACATTGTTGACAGAAAGTCAAACGATTTACTGCAATAGGACATTCATCAATGCAGATAATTTCAGTACAAGTGAACAATTCTTTTCAATTCTATACTTACATTGTGTATATGAGGTCTATAGTATTCAATTCTCGGATTTATCAGGTCTTGCTGTAAATGTATCTGATTCTGTGGAAAACCGTGAATAAAGGGAGGAAAATAAACATCTCCTACATTTTCAGAGTTGTTCCTCTTTGATCAGTAAGGGTCTACATCGATTTTACATTGTAAAAAGTTTTTTTTTGTTTATTTATTGTTATTTTATTTAATTAAAGAAAAAAAAAAACAATATTTATATCGTAAATGCACAAATTGTAATGAAGACCATTAATGTTACATGTATATAGCCAACTGTACATAATGAGAATTTCGGCAATGTAAAATAAAATTATCAGAATAAAAAAAATGCTGCGCTTTGATCAAAAATACAATTTATTGTATATGATATGAAATTAAATAAACATTAAGGGATGGTATTTTATGTCTTGCTTTTTACGGAGTTTAATCGGGTTAATTAAAAAATACTTATTGATTGAATATGGTGCGCGCAATCAAAGCCAAGCCGCATATCCCAATTTTCTTTCATGATTGATATACATCGGGATCGTTTGACTCGTCGTTTTTACGCTTTATTTTTGACGTTAAATTTGACGTCACGTCAAACGTTCATTTGAAATCGCAAGAGTTATCTCCCCCAGTGTGTTGTACGTCTTTAAATGAGATCGAAACTCAAAAATGATATTACAATGCAGCTTATAATAAGATATAGAGAGATACAGAAATAACCGCCTGCAAAATTTACAAATATGGCAAACCAAGTTCCTGTCGTGTAAAAACAGGTTATCCTCAAGGTATCCTTTTGTGGGTCGTCCGCGTGGCGCAGTGATTACGGCTTCTACTCTAGAGTTGCTAGATAGGGAGTCTATCTTTACGTCGCTGTTAATATTGTTGATTATGCCAAATAAAATTAATGTTTAAATTATTGTCCCATTTACTCCTCAAAAAATTCCTTGTACGCTTTTTTCTATCCTTAAATACGCATAAGCATGAAATAAAATCAAGTTAAGATTTATTTTAGTTATTCGGTGCATGCCTCTTTGTAAACTTTATTAAAACATTTTCAATATATACACTGATTGCATTAATACTTATACTCTGGAGGATATCTGGCGGAAATTGATTCATAAGAAAATATTGTTGATTGGATAGCCTTGCTGAATTTTCTAAAGAAAAAGCATTTATACAAGGCGTAATTAAACTTTTTTTTTTTGGGGGGGGGGGGGTGAACACAGGCACCTAAAGTATGTGTATTTTATTTTACCGAATAGGGTCATTCTTTAAACGTGAAAAAAAGTACAATCTGCTTGCATATAACGACATAAAGATGTGTTTGACGGGGAAATTTTATATTTTTGAGGTATTATACACTCTTACATTTTTTTTCATTAAAAAAAGGGGGGGTTATTATCCAGTGCCTGTTGTGTAAGTTAAGTCCCCCTCTTCTAAATTATCTTCATACCTACGACTTTGCTTATATCACAGATCTGTGATTTCAACGGGAATGGGAGTTCTGCCTTCTCCAGAAGGGAATACAAGGTCACTTTTATTTTGCAAATTCCGAAAAAAAGAAAAGAAACGTTAAGAAATAAACACATAAAGAAAATATGTAAAAGAAACTAAAGGACTGATTGTTGGTTTACGCCCTTTACATGAATTTCCCATAATATTAGACGTAAAACGCTTAAAAAGAAAAATATCTAATGATTATTTTATTGAATTATTATGATACTGGTCATTTAAAAGCAGATATACTTGAATTTCCTTTTTCTTAAAATCCGTATAATTTTTATTCCTTTGTATACCGGATCGATATTCACGACGTCAAGCGTGACGTCGCGATATTTTATGACGTTGTTCTTAAAAATGCTATATTTTTCAATATAAAACTAATTATCTTCAATTGAATTACGACAAAATGAAGACATATTACATTTTTCAGATAGATTAATTTTAATTCAATTCTATTTTTAAATACCAAAGGATAAACAAATTCGTCTGCACGATTTAAAAGTTATTAATATTTTTTTAATCATAACCTTGCCTGAAAACAAGCCCAAAACGACGTTTTTTCCTATACAATTCAAAAGAATACCGTTGAAAATGTTACTACAACAATGGCATCTTCACTTACGCAAAATACGGTGCAGACGGATTTTTAAAAATTTTCAGAGAATAGAAATCAAATATAGAGAAATCATAAGGTAATTTTCATATGTTTTCGAACACTTTTAAAAGCCCTGTAAACCCGCAACATACGGTAATAATAAATATTTTTAACAATTGAAAACTTCAACAGAATTTGGAAATGAGTGAAATTTAATACTCTGGAAGAAAGGACAGGGTATGGTAGCAGCCGAATCCGGCACTCTTATTTCAAAGCAAAAATAAGAAGACATTTGAAATTGTATTTGGTTGTTCTTAAGAGCTTAAAATAATGCTTATTTTAAAACCAGCACTAATGTTGATTCAAAGCATATGCGAAGAGAGCAAGAGGGTCATAAAGTAGGTCATTTTCCCGGATTTTCTCGGTTATTATGGTATTTTGTCGATTTTCAAATACATTTCACTCCTGAAAAATAGACACACGCCTATCTGAGATTTTTTCTACAAAAGATTCATCTGTTACATCTGTATAAAATTTATAAATTTGACAGATAGGAAAGCCTGCGCTCTATGTTTTCTGAAACAAGTTGTGCTGTAAAATCGATGAAAATTTGCATGAAAATGAGAATATTCGGACATATTTTTGATCTTTGTGAGATCTTTGGGTATCCCATAGCTTAGAACCATTGCTCTTTAAGTGGCAAGGATGACAACAGGTTTTCATTTTTAAACTGTTGCATCTTTCTAAAATAAACCCCAAACCAGGGGCCAAAAAAGGGTATTAGCCTATCTTGTCCTTTTAAATATCCAAAATAAAATGATTTATAATGCAAACACAAAACAGCCTTGCTTGCTTTTTAAGCCACTTGTCCAAGTACCTATGTAAGCAAAAATTAAAAAAATTATAAAAAGTGTTTTTATCTCTTTTTAAAAAGTCAAAGCTTTTTGTTTTCCTATCCTTTTTTTAATATGACTACTCCACCATACGTAAAAAATATAAAAAAAATATTATACGAAGCATATGAAAATAGTTATTTTCTAAAAAAAAAAAAAAAAAAAGAAAAATAGAGAAAATTTGGTTTAACTGATCACAATTTATTTAGGTATTTAACTTTATTAAATACTACCATCTGATAGACCCTATTTGATATTGTAGTTTTATTTTGCTATTTTGAGCATAGAAATGTTTTGTACTGGTACTGAAATATCTACAAAATTTTTTAATGCATTCTATCATCATATTTTGACAAATATAGTAGTCATTTTGAAAGTCCAGTAAGAATTATGCCAATTTTCACATTAAATTAACATACTTAAGTAATATCCAATATACCCCTTTTTGATTTTCTTTTCTGCATATATCAGATAGCTTTCAATCAATCTGCTTAAATCAAGCAAGAGATAAAGACTTACAAAACACCTTCTTCTTGCTTGTTTAATTGAAAAATGACATTATCTAAGTGATAAACCAAATAATTGATTATACGCAGCAATTGAGACTTTTCCTTTGTAATAGTTTTGATGTATATTTTTTTTTAAATAATAGAAATTTTGCTCTAGATCTATATGGATAACAATATCAGTGGAAAATTTATAGGTTGTTTTTTTTTTCATTAATGCACAATTTCAGCGCAATTACATGTAGGTCATATTAAAGATATTGTAAAGCCAAAAGAAACATATTTATCTTCATATATTAATACTTAATCAAGCAATATGTGTATATACTAAATATAATTGACAATAAATTCTTAAGACTATAGATATCAGGACCCAAGCTGGTTAAAATATCACTCAACAAACGAGTTAATCCCTAACATTTTCAAGACGAGTGCTCAACAAATGAGTTTTACGCTAATCAGGACTATTTTCAAAATACTTTATGTAACTGTATGTTTGTTTGTCAACGGAGGACAAGTTGATTTGTCTTTACGATAACAAGGAAACTTGTTCCAATATCCATTATGGGAAACTGTCGGCTAACTTATAAAACCTCTTTTGCAAAACGTCCTCTTACAGAGGCAAACTTACATTGACCTTACTAAAGCTAGCGATATGACGTTTATAGTCAAGGCTACATGCAAACTGATGGTGCAAAATCTAATAGTAAATTTAAGAACCTTTTTTACAGTACAATATATTGCCATTTGTGAAACAAATTAGATATTGCAAAACAAGACAATTTGAAGGAAGGTGGACCCTTTTTATAGAAAAAAAAAATCCTATTTCAAGGCTGACCTTCTTTCTTTACGAATTGGGAACACTCTCACTAAGCATTGGACTACATGACGTTTCAGCAGCTTATTATAATTTTATTATATGTTAGAGGGCAGTTAAAAAATTACGCGTCCTCTGCTATCATTTATTTTTACAGGCGTCATACAGTTATGAAATTTCACAGATATATGTATCTTATAGATTAAATAAAATTTGGGCAAAATTACTGCATTAAAAAAAATCTCTCAAAATTTTCGCTGTGTTTATATAGCTGATGGAGAGATAAGGAGCACGATAAAAAAATTGAAACAAAAGTATGCGGAAACCAAAATTTAACTTACTAATTTTCTATAATTCGCGATATTTTTCGACAATTTTCGCAAATGTATCTTTATTTCGTTTTATTACTTTGTACGACTATGTAGAACTCATATTTTAATTTGTTTAGATGATATTGGAATAAGAAACAGAAATATAGCCATTTTTCTCCGATGCGATTCCAGTAAATACAGCTGTGAAAATTTCTTGAATTTACGGAGCACCACATGTTTGTTAAATTATGTGTTTTGCTCGAGATATCGCCAACATCGATCCAAAATATGCATAACAAAACATATAGTTAACTAGGGTTATCGTGACATTTGTCTACAAAGAACAAACTGTAATTTTAGACCGTTAGACCTCTGTAGAAAGGCTATACAGGAGGGCTGGAAGAAGATTATTGACGAAAACTTATCTGGACTGTAACGAACGTAATTGAGAGTGATCAGTGTCTAACTATATCTCAGAAATACCTGCTTTACTTGATTTATAGATTTTTAGCTTGACAGGAAATTGTGTATGGATGTTGAAAAGATACGGTAACTCAAACTGTACGGAAATTAATTGCGAAATGATGAGGAAATAAAAGTTCATATTTTTTAATAATGCCCTTGATGTCAAAGATTTTGCTGCTCCGTTAATGTATGATTTGTAAACCATATAAGTAAAGATTCTTTTATATTATGTGTATCATTTTGCCCGATTATGTCTTTAAATACTTTTTTCTGTGCAACAAGTCTAGTTTTTGAACAGCCCTCGTAACTTGTCAACGTGTGATTCGTTTTATTTCTGTTGACATATTCTTTTTTGTTTGTTTTTTATGTGAAATATCCCTCTTGAAAAATTTTCACTCACATGGACACGCCACAACTTGCTAGTGTATAACTACCTATGCACAGCAGTCAGGGTTATGAGCTTTTGGGGAAATTTTTCGTGCCAGCACCTACATGTATGGCGACACGAGACCTTGCGATCGGTTCATACGGTTGCATCTGAAGGACCGGTCTCCACGTCCCACAGTGAGATTCAAACCCGAAACATATCAACTCCTTACTTAGGGACTCTAGTACAGACGCTCTTACCACTGCGCCACGCGAACGACATCAAATTTGTTATCATAGTTGTGAATAATATAATTATAATTCCTCTGACAATAAGATTACAATTATTTTTAAAAAAGATTAAAAAAAAAATTATAATATTTAGTGTATTGTAATTTCATTAATTAATTTTTTAATGTATAGTTGTTTTTAAATACATGACAAGTAATATCTAATAATTTTGCTGGTTTATAACATTACTTTGATTTCATTTAATTAAAGTTGATAAACTGTACTTATATGAGATTTACTTGTCATTTTTTATCTTCTTCTTTCTCTAATTATTTCTTTATACTTAGAATACATCATTTTATTCACAAAAACATGCACTCAAATTGACTTCTCGAAGATGTACTCAGTCACAATGTCTTTTCAGTTTTGCGTTTAAAATACCATAAGTGTATTTATGTATATGTATGAAAATGAAGCGTCAATAATTATATATTAGTATAATGGTGTTAAACGTATACTTTGTTATCATATATAAAAATGGTGCTAATTTGCATGAGATATTTAAGTATATGTATGAAAATGAAACGTCAATAATTATATATTAGTATCATAAAAAAATCTTTTTTTCAAATATTGGAGATATATTTTATAATATTATATCGATCCAGGGAACTCCTGACACCCCTGGTGAGATATAACAGAGGGCTTCTGAGGAAGTTTTGCCTCGTTGTTATATTGTATGTTATTGAATAAATGATTTGAAAAAAAAATACCGTAAGTGTTTTTGAAGAAGAAAAGTCTTCACAATATATTATCATATATTTTGTCCAAAAATACATAATCAGAAACTAATGTTCATTCCTTAAACTTCATATAAAAATGAAAACGTACTTTTGCTTTTACTCCAGGTTTGTTCAGTCTCATTTTCTATTGCCAGAAGATGTGCTCCCATCCAAATGCAACTATCCTAAAAGAATAAAATGAAATGCACTTATTTCGGTGGACAGATTTCGACCAACTTTGACACTGTTAAGGTCTGTAGAATGCATTTTGTGGTTACTGTAAATTTTAAACTAGCATTCTGCTTACTGTATAATTTAAGACAATGCATAATATTGTGAACTTCAGATTTAATGATGTTTGTTTCAATTATATTTAATATTGTTAGGTTTACTTTGTCTTCATTTATCTATATCCGTCCGTTCTGATAAGCTTTGGGGTACACATCTTTTATCTTCATCTCCTCTTATGCTACTGAATGAATTTTTAATGACACCTTTACAGATTCTTTGTTACAAGGTTTCATTGTGTAACTCCTAATTTACATTTTGATCGGAAATATGTTTCGAGTTTACCATAGAAAAAAAAAACAAAAAACATTGAGAGTGCCATTTTTTCTATAATATTGATGGGTACTCATCTCTTATCCACAACTCCCCTATACCGAGTGAATAAAAATGAATCATAGCTTCACAGATTTTTTATTATATAATGCCAATGTGCAACCTCCATTTTACTTTTTGACCTGACACTTATTTCGGGTCTTCCCGAAATAAAAAGTACTTTGTCATTATAATTCTATGGGAGGCGGCAATATCATTTAGTGAGCACAATGCCAACAGTATCTTTCATTTATTCCGCAATGAATGACCATCCGAGTTCCAATTTTGCGCTCTCATTTGTTTTAACAGAGCATGACCAACTCAGCTATCCATCAAGCAAATTAAAGAAAACCAGTCACCTCCTTTGAAGCTTTATATAAATGTTTTGACATTTTTTTTACATGAAACATGTAGACAGACAACAATATCATTTTGTTAAGAAGATTGGGTTATCAAATATTTCCAGAGAGATTAAATCTAAAAAAATGAATATTATTTTTTTTAGCATACACGATCATTTTATATGTAAAAACCTTATTTTTCAGCCAAAATATTTTATGTAAAATCCGATATTTTTCTAAAATTTTCATTGTAGCTCGCTGGCTAGAGTGTTCGCTTCAAATACCAGATAAGAAATAGGTGGGCACTGGGGTCAAGCATTGGCTGCGTAAAACCTAAGTTTATAAAAGAAAATAGTTAGGAACGTAACTTTTGCCAAAGGCTTTGTACTTTGAAGTTGTTGTTCTTTCAGTTAAGACCAAAAAAAAATAAATAAATAAAAACGGAGACCATATTTATTGCAGGCGTTTGCATGATCATTATCTTACTTTCCAATGATCAGAATTCCGAAATAAGGTCTTACCTTGAAGACCTTCACAGGTTTAAGAGGCATATGATTAAATATGATTAGTTTAAGATAATCGTAAAAAGGTCACAGCAATACACAGATTGAATAAGCTCTTACCATTTTTGTGAGTATTAGATAACTAGTCAAAGAAGATTGCAACTCTACTGCCACCTGTAAAGACATACCTTGGCAGCCTGCCACTTAAGAGAATTGTACACAAAACAATATTTCTTCTCTCCGTTTATCTGCCATGATGTAGGACATTCTGCAATACAGTAGCGTAAATGGAACATTGGAATAGTAGAAGGAATATGAGGTTATTTCTAGAAATTTATTTCACTATGCAAAGAGTTGATTATCATTTATATTGTTGTTAATTGGGTTAGTATTGTTAACATTTCGATCCCATATTTTCCATATCAGCTAAAATACTAAAAGTGAAAAAAAAATCTTCCAATTTTACTTCAGGGTCATTCATTAAACTTTCAGACAGTAGCCTATGCACAGACGTTTCTTTATACAAATTTAGGCAAATTAGACTGAAATATTGCAAAAAATACCTGTTTAAAGATGTATATAATTACTGTAGAAGTACTTTTTCCCGCGTGGTATTTATTTCCGCTATGAACGCGGTCACAAATTTTCCGCGGAAATATGTCCAAGCAAACTTTATATAAATGTACGGCATATAGTGACAGTCTAGGAAATCCGCGTAATTTTCTACACGCGAATTCAACAGAAAATGAGATTCCTCGGAATTATGATCCCGTTGAAAAAAGTACCTTTATAGTATACATACTGTAAATAATTTTCAACAAAAATATACATTTTCATTTTTTAAATTCATTATTCCTTTTAAAAAGTTTTGGTTTTACATAAAGAACTAAAAAATGCATGTTTGGGCTAAGTTTTCAAATGCGATTTGACGTATAATCCTTTACTTATTTATTAGATTTGTGAACATGAGATGGGAAGCTATTAAATATCTTCCATTGCTCTGCAACATATTTTTTAGTAAGGCATGCGTGAATATTTTTTTTATTTAACAGCGACTAGCAATACATTTCAATATTTAATCAAAACTTATTTAACAAACTTAGTTTTACAGATAACAGTTTTACTTTGAGTCGAAATAATCAATCAAAAGTTTATCAGTTTTGCTGTGGACAAAGACAATTTTCGTTTAAATTCGCTTTCAAAGAAGCTTTTTAAAGAGCTCGGTTCACTTTGTGCATAAAACAGCCCTGTAGATATTCCAATTTATTGATTTTATTTTCCATTTTTAAGATCAAAATAAATTAAAAACTTTTTTTTCATTTCCTATTAAATATTTTCTCCTTAAACTCCAGGGATTGGAACACGGGCTTTATGGAATTGAATTGCAATGTTCTTGAATTTTAATGTAAATAAGTATATTTTAGCTTTTTCACGGAAGAAAAATAATATGAGCGCACTTTCTGATTTAAAAAATAAATAATGTCTTGTAATCTTCAGAAGCAGTTCTATGATTTGTTAGTCGTTTATTTTATAATTGGATCAGAGGTTGCGCTTTATATTGAATATTGAAAAAAAGCATTGAAAATTGGCGGTTTTTGTAGAATTTTTTTTTTAGAATTTGAGGAAATTGACACATTCCGTGACGTCATAATGTATTGACTAGCCAGAAAATGATGCCATTATTGATAGACATGCAATCAACAAGCGTCTAAATGATATTTTTGCATTGTGAACAAAAATGAAGCAGTATCAGTTTTTTCAGAAATTCAAAGGGCCAAGAAACCTATAACTGAACCTTGTTCTTTTATGGAATAAAAAAAAAACAGTTAAATGATTCCTTTCTTACTTACTGTCATTTATGCAGAATGGTTTTCCGCTACTCAGAGCCACGCACTCCTCTTTACACGATGTTGAATTGCAAGATCCAGCAAGCTCCTGTGAAAAAAAGATAGACCCATTGGTCTCAGCGTCTTTTAGCTACATGTACCTTTGCCTATTCAGGGTAATGGGTTAATTTGAATTTTAAGGGAATTTTCTCCTATTTGTCTTCATAAAAAGTATCATAAATGTAATGAAAATTTCACATAGTCTTTATTACATATTGCCATTGTGCACCTCTACTACTAGTATTTTACTTTTTGATCCGATACATATTTTGTGCCAGATGTTTGAACATCGACCCAATTAGTCAAGCCATAAATACAAAACCGTGCCGAAAAATAAGACAGATGTAAACAAAAATCCTTAAAATTTCATCAAATAAGAAGGGCACATTATGTTACTGTTAAGTGTATTGAGAAATGCTCATACAAAAATACTTCAGTAATGGTACATTGTGTCATTTTCTGAGCGGATTAAAATCAATATGATATCTTCTACGACTTTACGATGCGTGTTCAAATTACAATGAGAAGATACAAAGTATTTTTATAGACCTAAAGCAAAAAAAAAAAAGAAAAAAAAAAAATACACGTAGTTTTAGTTTAAATTAAAGTTTAATGTATGACATTCCTGAAATTTGTTAAATTAATGATTTTTTGAGAAGTATATTTAGGATAAGTACTCATAAAGTGTAACCTCGTGGGGATCCGGGTTAGAATAGGTCCTCAGTACCCCCTTGCTTGTCGTAAAAGGCGACTAAATGGGGCGGTCCTTCGGAGGGATGAGACAGTATAAACCGAGGCCGCGTGTCACAGCAGGTGTGGCACGATAAAGATCCCTCCCTGCTCAAAGGCCATAAGTGACGAGCATAGGCCTAAATTTGCAGCCCTTCACCGGCAATGGTTACGTCTCAATATCAGTGAAATATTCTGCAGAGGGACGTTAAACAGCATACAATCAATCAATCATAAAGTGTAACTCAAAATCGCAAAGAAAATAGGGGGTCAGTGTGCATCCTACTGAACTACGGTACATTTAAGTTGACCTTTTTGCACTTAAATTTCATCTCTTTGTTTAATTACTTTAACCTTTATTATATTTTATCAGATGTAAGCATGGTAATAAATATTATCTTATTTTACGTAAAATAGTTTGAATAATATATATCATTAGACAAATCTTGCCAATTATTGCGCGTAAGTTATTGTGTGGCCTTTTTGCAATAACATATTTGGGGTATTAAAAAACTTAATAGGCACTAAAAAATTTTCTTATATCAATCTTGTTACGACTTAAGTGGTGATCAGTCACAAGTATCGAGTAGTTTAAAATAATGAAAGAAAAAGGTGGGGTCAGTGATGTTAATTTTGAAATACTTGTCAAAATATGTAATTTTTAGTCAAAAAATGGTGTAAATTTGATCTTGACTTCTTTAATATTTTTTTCATTTTTTGGAAAAGTTTGTTGAGGGAAGGTGTAAAACTTAGTCTAAAAATATAGAATAAGACCTATATTAAATATTTTTAGCAATTTCAAAGCGGAAAATATTCTCCGAGTAAAATTATGTGAGGCTAAATTTCCAATACATTAAATTTTATTAATGTGCAGATTTGCAGAATTTTCTGCTAAATATCCTTCCACCAAAAGAAATAGTCCCTCATAAATCTTGCTTCTTTGTAGATTTTTGAGCAGTTTTTTCGTTAAATGTTAAAAAAAATACATTGTTGAATTTAAATATGTCATGAAAAATGAATTTTAATAAGTAGTTTTGAAGTAAAAGCTTCTGCGTAAACTTTTCTAAAAAGCTGACGAGGGACATACCTTAAATTAAAATTAATGTTGTTTCTGTACAAGGATATGTATTTTTCTTCTGACTGTATTGGTCGACACCTTTTTTTACATTTTCATCTTGATCCAAATGTTTTTAATCCATAATATCTACATTAATTTTGCAAATGTTCCTCTTTATTATATCAACACTACTGAGAGCAATGTGTATACTAGTACACAGGTTCCTCAAATGTCATAAACGTTCAAAGAAATTTCTCAGTGACGTCATAAAGGGTCGACGCGCAATTGATGGAATACAAACCGTTGGGTTTGATAAATAAATCATTCCCCGCGTTTAATATAAAATATCAGTTCGTCACTAATGTAAACAAAAGTAATAATGTATCATTTTAAAACATCTATCAGGCTAGATATGGGTTGGTATGAGATCAAATTTATCATAAAACCCTGGAATTTGATCTCGTGACCAACCCATATTTATATCCCTATAAATGTTTAAAAATTATACCGTAATTGCTTTTCTCAAATAAACAACACTCACTTAGTGTTATAGGAACGTCGAGACAGTACTTACCTGTGGTTGATTTTCCATTTCAATATAGTCACACTCTGAGTCCAGAACTAGAGAGGTTCCCGATTCACCATGTTTTTCTGCAATTAGTTCACAATCGAGCTGTCTCTTTCGATAGTTCACAGACTTGCACTGGCGATTCTGTAAACATTTTCGAATGCACTGTTTTTGTCCAATGATGGTAAAAACATTCATGAATTTGCTAGAAGTCATGCATTGGCCCGGCCCGGTCAATTTTATGTTGGATATGTTATCACTTTGTCCCGATACAGCATAATGCACTGTAGAAATAAATGTGAGAATTTTTAGTCCAAACATTGTTAATTTGTTAACAAGAGTGAAGTTATGGTCATGATTATTTCAAAAGTGTTCCTATAGTCGCAAGTTTATGTTAAATAGATGTTAAATGAAATGGAATATCTGTTTAAATATCAAAATGGCATAGTTGCAAGCATGCGCAAACAATTGAGTAAATGCATATATAAAGCTTTTTATAAAGTTGAATAAAATGGTGTTAATTGTAAAACATCAAACTAATATTTTCTGACGAAGATGTAGGTAAATAATTAAACATTGAAAAGAAATTACAACATAAAATTACAAAATTTTCAAACGCGTGCTTTTAAATTATATATCAAGAATCATGCATTAAAAATAAAGTTAAAAATGAAGACATGGATAACATTGGATATAAATACGGTTCAATTACTTTACTTGATTACATACTTGATAATATATACAGGCTTTTTGCATTTGCAATATGTCTGTCACAAAAGCTTTATCAGCCCTATTGGGCTGATATGGATTTGGGGGGCTGATACGGATCAATATCACACCCCTAGTAATTTAAACTTCACAAATAGTACTTGTGATCATACATATATTTTGGGGGGTTCACATTCTCTTAATTTTAACTTTTTTGAATGTAAGGATAATCTAACTGACAAAAGATTTTCTTTTCAAAGTACATGCATTTGAAATAGAAGTAGAAAGACACCCAAACCGTGTGAGTCAATAGACTGTTTATACATGTATGTAAAATTAAGTCCGTGCATGATTATTTACTTATTTTCTTTTCCACTTAATGTGTAGTGTATTATATTACTAAGTATGTAATAAACTTCATAAAAACTACCCTTTTCCACATCACATTCTGTATCAGCCCTCGGCCCTCCGGCTGATATTGGGGTCTCTGGCTAATACATTTATTTATAATATTATAATAGTAACTTGATCTGAAGGGTTGAATCACGTATCGTTGACAGGCGTGGATCATCATACATGTATCAAACGGGACGCTAAGCGTCGAGTTTCGCAGTACAGTTAAGGTGCGCAATGGAAATATCGACTAAATTTTGTATTTAAGAAGTGTATTCGTAATCGGAATGGCGATTATTTTTAGTACATTATTTATATCGGATAATTGTAATTATTATTTATAACTACATATCGAGGACGATTATATTTTATATTTAGACTAGTCACGTAATGTTGCAGTCACGCGATTTTAGCACACTGACTTGAAGTATTGATAACACATATAAATATCACTAGTGCAAGGGCATAACCAAGTTAAATTTCCAAGTTTAGCATATAAATATTTTCAACATGCATTGTATTTTCTAAAAAGTGCTGCGATCCTGTCTAAATTCGGCAATTTCATTGTTCAAATATACTTGTATGACCGAATGCTATATTTTTTGCTGGTCAGCGGCATGAAATATTGATATAATTAGATTGTTTTTAAAATTTCATCAGGATCGCAGCACTTTTTAGATACCTTAATAGTTCTATAGTTGAAATGTAAAAGCTTACTTTGATCCTTAGAGTGTATGTCCTTGCACTACATCGTTTTATTAAGACCCCCACATTACCCTCCGATGTACTTGCATACAAATATACGGCAGTGTCAATTTAATACGTAATGTACAGAAAATATATTAATAAGATAGTGAAGAAAACATTAAATTCAAGATATTGACCTATGTAATATCTGTAAATAATATTTTATTTAATTAGAGAATACATATTTTGTTGAGAAAATATTACTTGATTTGTCTCTCACTGCATACAAACTACGTCACGTTGTAAGAAATGACGTCATATTGACAAGTGAAATGCGATCAGTGACTTGTTTATAACTTGTTATGTGAGATTTAACTAAGGACAAAACAACACGCTGTAATAAGTTTTTATGTAGTTTGATGATTTCTTACTGGTTAAATTCGCAGATAAACTCATTTTGTGGTATTTTAAAGAAATGTTGTATGACGTATATTGTGTATGATGTTATAGTCAAAAAATTAGGCTCCGCCTCCTTTTTGTAACCTTAACTGTGCTGGGTTGATCTGATGAACCGCGCCTGTCAACGAGACGTGATACGGCTCTTCGGATCAAGTTACTATTATAATAATAAATTTATTATATACCCCTTTACACTAATTAAATATAGCAAGATAAAAATTTAGAGATTAATTGTATAATATTTATTCATAAAACAAAGCATAAAAACAACACACTTTTTAACCTACAAGAAAAATAACGTCATGTTTTTTGAGTACTACGTCATCAGTTTCAGAGAGTGTAATATGGATTGAGAAAACCACAGTTTGGTGATCCGGAAAGTCGGATCACAACTTTACTTGATTGCGTTAAATCTACAGTAAAACTGAGTGATATAATAAAGAATGTGATACGGAAAATGGTATGTATTATTCTACAGGGAAATAATTCACTTTCTTGTATTTCCGGATTATTTCAGCTATATTAAGTAATTCTTAGTGGCTAGTGGTATGTATTCGGTTTTTGATTGGTAGGTCTGGGTTAAACCCTTGTCCCTGGCACCACGTTAATATCGTGCATAGGTATACGTAGGACTACTCTCTTACCAAGCACCCGACAATTTAATTGGAGTCACTAATCTTTCGTATGAGACATTTAAAACGAAGTAGCCTGCATGGTAGGCGTTGGTTTGAAAAAATACTCTCACCGTTCAATGACCCTCATTGCATAAAAAAAGGCAAAATTAAAATAAGGTGATGTTTCCATATGAGTAAAAAAATCTCGAATAGGAGTTTAAGCGACATACAATTAATCAATCAATCAATCCAAGGAAATAAGGTGCTTTCATCAACTACTCGAGATTATTATGAAATTTCAAATACAACAGGCTCATTCACTTGTAACGTTCTCAAATTAATTGAGTACTTTGAGCTGCATGTAGATGTAGTTTTATTTTCTTTTTTGCATCCATTTACAATATAACCTTTATTTTCAATGAAATTCTTTTGCTTTCAAGGTCTCAATTTACCCAAAATGAATAAAAGGGAAAATGGACATAATATAAATATTTTAAAGTCAATCATGAAACTGTATAACATTTAAGGCTTCTGTTTTTTTTTCTTTTCAAAAATCATTCAAACGATTTGTCTGTTAAGTTTATAAATAATATTATACATTTATTGCATGATAGTGAGAAATATGACTCAGCCAAGAAAAATCATATTCAGAGGCTTATGTTATGTTTTTCAAAAATACCGAAACAAGTAAAATTTAAACAATTTGTCCTGCTCTCAAATTCAATTTTTTTATAAATCAACACATTATCATCAATTTTATATATATGATCACTGTGTGGCTATATGAACATGATGAAAAGCATGCTGACGGCCGGGAAATATGAAGTTTTACGGCCCGATATTTTTTCAGATAAACGTTCAAATATTTATTGTATAATAATAAATATATGTGATCACTGGATGGCTATATAAATAGGACTTCGTATTTTTTTATCAAAATATTGAAATGACTCTAAAAAATAAGGGGGTTTACTTGTTAAGTTTCACGATTCCTTTTTACGAATATATGCTAATATGTAGTTATTTTATATGGTCGAAGCGATGCGTGGTGTACGGAAAAGTAGATCCGTAAAAATGAGGAACCTTTTTCAAATTTATAATAAAGAAATAGTTCTATAATAAAGAAAAAATGTGAATGTTTTGCCCCATAATGTAAAAAAACATGCATTAAAAAAATCATCCACAATAAGTGTTTTTCCTGAAATGGTTGAAAGTGTTATCATTAAGGTCGACAGGTAAACAGTTGTCACCTAATTGGAAAAAACCTTTTCATTCAAGATCAAATCACCGACATCAAATGTCTACAGTTGGCAACTAATCTATTTTTCCTAAAAACAAGGTCGACCTGTCGACTTGTTTACCTGTAAATTCCTTTTATGTCGACCTGTTAACCTGTCAACTTGTCTTGCGACTATAGGAACATTTTTGAAACACGTCTTCCTGAATACATGTTGACATTTTAAGCATACTGAGTACCATGTGTCAACCTGTCGACCAGTCATTTTTTAAACTCGTCATTCTGTCAACTTGTTGACATGTCAATAAAATATTCCTACGCTGCATATAATTTCTCCAAATTGAAAATATTCCTTTCCAGTACTACTTATCAATATATCCTAGTTGACCTAAACCTATTACCTCCTCAGAGATGCATATGAAACATTTGTTATTATTCTACGACAATGTGTTTTTAACAAAGCATTGGTATTTAAATTCGTGTGGGACTTGAAATTTACGAAACATACAGATGGCAGTTTATAGTTTAATATTTATGTTTTGTTTTCATACATATCAATTTGCAATCCTTGAGAGAAAAAAAAAAACACGGAATATTGTTATAAGAGGAAATTATAAGATATTAAACAATTGTTTCTTATCTCTTAATCGACAAACTCAAACATGTAAAATTCAGTTTTATCTATTGATTTATTATGCATTAAAAGTACTGTAAGACATTTCAAAGTGATCAACTGCTCATAATGACTTTCAGTCATCTGTGAAAGTTAATTTTACTTTAGTAGAATTTTCATTTGATCTTACGTGCATTTAGTGACATCCCATCTTATCCCGTCCTATTGTGGTTTATTTTTCTCTGATTTATTTCATACCAGCATTTGAAAATTGATAGATATTGCTATGATAGCAATATTTTTTTTTGCAAATGGCTTCTCTTGAAATTTTTTGTTAATCAAAAAATTTCCAGAGAAGCCATTTGAAAAACCCTTTTCATGAATAGAATTACGAAATTTATTTACTTATCCCCGGGGTAGTGTTAAACTTTTTACTTTTTCATTAAGGCATATTCTCTAATTATAGCCGTCACGTGGTGACGTCGTGGTGCAGTGCTTCCTGTAGTATAAGTCCCATTGAATCTATAGAATGCATAATGATAGCAAACATTTATCCATGACTTTTCCGATTTATTAGTGTAAAAATGCCAAAACACATGTGCTAAAAAAAACCCGAAAAAGATAAATAAAAAATTTGGGTTTAGTTGGTCTAATACTGTAAACAGCTTTCATATAACTGATAACAAGAGCATAGGATCCAAAGCTGGTTCCATCTAACTTTATGCCCAAAGCTGACAAAGCCCCTCGAGCTGTATTGAGAGAGCCTGTAACTCAATCCATTATCAAAAAGTAAAGTCAAGAATTCCAAAATATTGTTTTCAGATGGTGAAACTGGATCAATTTTCCATTCAAAGCATTACTGAAACCATATTTTGATGTACGTTTGATACTGCTTTTTAGTGTCGGTTCTACATGATGCCATAAAAATGGAGGTAGTTGTTTTTGAAAATACAAGATTTCTGTAAGTTTGCCGGACACTTGGCGTGCAATCAAGGGCATTTTTCCCACAAAGGATGAGCCTCTTTTTTCTTACGATTTAGAAGTAGATCCTTCTTTCTCGGAAGTAATATATTGGATTCTTGAAAATACTTTTATACTTGACTATACTTTTCATTACCCCCCGTTCACACATAAACGCCGCTTCTACTACGATCAAAGCGTGGACAACAGCGTGGCCGATCGTGACAAATCGCAAGAGAAACGTCGTTGAGTCGTTATGAATTAGTATGATCGCATGTAGGGTCTTCATGATACGCATGTACAACCTCAGTTTTCAAACGCTTATTTTGAACATGTTCAAAACAATGTAATCATATTGAACAAGAATCGGGGTAAATTTACCAATAACGCTACGCATTATTGATTTGTATCTCACTACGATTTATATACCGTTCAAGGTACGAAGACCTACAATGACTTTAAGCCGATCATATCACGACCTAGCAGAACTGAGTTTGTTCTTATAGCGCTGATATTTGACCAGTCATCATCTATAAACTACATGTAAAGGGTGACACTAACTTTGTTAATTTGCCATGCGACTTTTCACACTTTTAAGTTAAATTGAAAATGCCCGTAAAACATGTCGTAAAGGCCGCAAAAAAAAAAGTGCGGTCGCAAGATATGTATCATCGCTAAAATCGTACTACAAAAATCTGCGGTTGCGAGATATATTTACAACATCGCCGAGCGTAATGCAATCGAAATTTGAAGCACCTTCAGCAACATTACGGTACAGTCATTTAAGTCTATGTAGCGAAAAATTCAATTTCGTAGAGGGCAGCGTAGCCTAAACAATATACACGGCTGCTTGTCGGCAACAATCTATGTAAATTTAGAATAAGCGTGTTAGGGAGCGCGTTTGACGTAGGGACATCGTAATACGGTACGTAATGAAATTAATTTGCCAAATTGCTCTGATTTAGACTTAACCAAGGTAAGTCTGCCCCGATCCAAAAAAATTTCAGATCGTGGCTTAATCGGAATGATCGCCGTAGAGTCGCAGCTCTGTGTGAACGGAGGGTTAATCATGTGAACCAAGTCTGAGTGGGACATAATGGGCCATGATAATTATGATCAAATGTCTTCCTAAATTTTCAAATCACAAGCCTAAAAAAAAATGAAAAATCATAATAAAAATCTCTCCAATTTAATGATAATGTATCAACTTAATTTTTTTGCAAATTTTGTAAACCATGATCAAAACACTTTACCTTTGTTCAAGTAATGATGCAAACTTTTTCTAGAATTAGCTTTGGACAAATGTGTCAGAATGTATCATGATATAATTGCCATTCCACTTGATCATTAAACTCTCTGGAAAATTTGTCTGCTTCTATGTTATTTTTCCCTGGAATATGAGAACACTTAAGCCAAATGTTTCTCTCAGTGCACCATTCCCTTATTTCCACTGCAAGTTTATTGCACATTTCATTTTTTATACCACACATGTTATTAATTTAACTAATGGCACTAGTACTATCTGATGATATTCTTATATATTTGTTTTGCACAATATTTACAAAAGATCTCAAAGCAAGGTTAAAAGCAAGCATGTCCAAGTAATTTATGTGATTTGATTTTCCTTCTTTTTTCCATCTTTTCTTCATTCACCAGTTTTGATATTATCTTGTGTACATATTGCTCCCCAACCTGACAAAGATGCATCAGTTTGCATGGTAATCTCTGGGTTACCTCTAGAAATAAATCTGCTTTGAGAATGAATATTGGAACACCACTAATTTAACTCTTCTTTCATTTTCAAAGTAATTTTCATTAATGAATCAAAATTCCCTTTAGATTCTTTTAAATGCTTTATTTTCTCTTTTTCTAGCAAACTGTAATGTAATTGTCCCAATTCTGTAGTTGAAAAACGTGGAATAATCAGTCCAGTGACTCCATCTACAGTTCTTTTTTTTTTTGCGTGATCTAGATTCACTAAACACTTACATTCTTCATAGATAATGTCTTTCTTCTCCTCGGTCAATTCAATAATCATTCTCTCAGAATTTATTCTGTTTTCCAAGAATGTGATATATTTTTGGGGTTCAAATCGACTTTCCATTCTATGAATCTCAAAACCAAATTTCTCAAGATATTCTCTTGTGATGTTCACATTCATTCTGCACTCATCAATATTATCTCCAAACAATAGAACATCATCAATGTAAGTTATGCTAAAATAACCTAATGTTCTAAGGTAAGCAAAAATTGGTTTGAAAACTTATGTGAATCTTCTTAGTGCTGATGACAAACCAAATGGTAAGCAGGTATATTGAAATATTTCCCTTTCCATCTAAATCTCAAATATTTTATATGGTCAATTATATTGCTTTTGGAATTGTATGGCAGGCAAGCTTATGTCAATTAAGAGATAAATCAATTTTTCTTGAATAGATTTACTGCATGATTTGAAAGTTCCATCTTAAAAAACTACATGTTCATTTCAATTTTTCAAGGATATAGGAAGAATGAAAGTGATTCCCCATTTTTCTTTGGACTAACAAAAATGATGAAAGAAACACAAGAAATCCAGGAATTGCCTTCACAAAACATCTTAAAAATGAATATCTGAATGTCTTGATCTTCACTTAGATTCTAATGCTTATGAATACAAACTACATTTTGTTCTACAATTATCTACAAATTCTATTTTGCAATTTTCCACTATCTGTAATATATTTTTATCCGATGTAATTTTTTCCCATTCTTTGGAAAAATATTTCAATCTATTTGCATAAAATTCAACATTTTTCCTATTAACTAATCATTTATTGAGTCTTGTTTTTCTGTTGTGGTAGTGTACATTGTATTGCTCTTCTTGAAGTATTTTGAATAAAATTGACCACCACTGTTTCTGTTTGAATAATTTGGATTGTATGCAGTTTTTTTTGATAATTTATGAACAAAATGTAAAATCGACCCTTGAACCATCCTTCAATCTCCAAAAGTGTTGATTATTATTTATGTGACCAATCTAGCTACATCTTCAAATTCTTTTGCAGTTTTTGGGATATGGTCACCAAATAACCATGATTGTAACTAGGTATAAACTCATTTCATGCAAACTTTTCGCAAACGTTGACTTTTGTATTCTGTGCACACAAATGCAACTATAAGTATCTTAATTCAGGTTTTATAAGATCACGTCTTGTCATATTAACTTGTTTTTTGCATGTCCAAATTTAAAAGGGCTATCCCACGCACACCCAGTGGATAAGTGTTTACTTTTCACATTATGGCCGTCAAATGGTTTCATGGTGCAATGCTTCCTCCAGTATATATTGATTACCAATGATAAATCATAATGATAGCAAACATTTATCCATGACTTTTCCGATTTATTAGTGTTTATTTGCCGAATTCTGATTATGTGCTGCAGTATAACACACCCAAAAAATTCATGTTCCAGCAAATTATACTATACATCTAATATAATAAACAACTTTCATATATCTGATAACAAGAGCATGGGATCCAAAGCTGGTTCCATCTAACTTTATGCCCAAAGCTGACAAAGCCCATTGAGCTGTATTGAGAGAGTGTAACTCAGTCCATTATCGAAAAGTAAAGTCAAGAATTCCAAAATATTGTTTTCAGGTCGTGAAACTTTATCAATTTTCCATTCAAAGCATTACTGAAACCATATTTTAATGAACGTTTGATACTGTTTTTTAGTATCAGTTCTACATGATGCCATAAAAATGGAGGTAGTTGTTTTTGAAAATACAAGATTTCTTTAAGTTCACCGGATACTTGGCATGCAATCAAGGGCATTTTTTCCCACAAAGGATGAGCCTCTATTTTCGCAGGATTTAGAAGTAGATCCTTCTTTCTCGGAAGTAATATATTGGATTCTTGACAATACTTTTATACTTGACTATACTTTTCATTAATCATGTGAACCAAGTCTGAGTGGGCCATAATGGGGCAATGATAATCCCTCTTGCCCTGTCTACCTAAATCTTCTTGATGCACAAGCCCATCAAACAAAAAAGGTGGAAAAATATAAAGATAATCAAAATTTCTCCAATTTAATGAAAATGCATCAACATAACTACATTCTGGATCTTGTTTCCATGAGCAGCAAAACACTTTACATTGTGTATTAAGTCTTGGTGCAAACAAATCTATATCTGGAAACACTAGCTTTGAATATATCATGATATAATTGCCATTCCACTTGATCATTAAACTCTCTGGAAAATTTGTCTGCTTCTATCTTATTTTCCCTGGAATATGAGAACACTTCAGCCAAATGTTTCTCTCAGTGCACCATTCCCTTATTTCCACTGCAAGTTTATTGCACATTTAAGATTTTATACATATAATTAATATAACTAATGGCACTAGTACTATCTGATAATATTCCTACATATTTGTTTTTCACAATATTCACAAAAGATCTTAAACCAAAGTTAAAAGCAAGCATTTCCAATTTTAACCTGAAAAAGGTCCATCAGTTTGAATGGTTATTTCTGGGTTACCTCTAGAAATAAATCTGCTTTGAGAATGAATATTGGAACATCACTAATTTAACTCTTCTTTCATTTCTATAGTAATTTTCATTAATGAATCAAAATTCCCTTTAGCTTCTTTTAAATGCTTTTTCTTTTTCTAGCAAACTGTAATGTAATTGTCCCAATTCTGTAGTTGAAAAAATTTAAATAATCAGTCCAATGACTCCATCTACAGTTCTTATTTTTGCGTGATCTTGATTCACTAAACACTTACATTCTTCATCAATAATGCGTTTCTTCTCCTTAGTCAGTTCAATAATCATTCTCTAAGAATTTATTCTGTTTCCCAAGAATGTGATATGTTTTTGGGGTTCAAATCGACTTTCCTTTCTATGAATCACAAAACCAAATTTTTCAAGATATTCTCTTGTGATGTCCACATTCATTCTGCATTCATCAATAGTATCTCCAAACAATAGAACATCATCAATGTAAGTTATGCTAAAATAACCTAATGTTCTAAGCTAAGCAAAAATTGGTTTGAGAACTTATGTGAATCTTCTAGGTGCTGATGACAAACCAAATGGTAAGCAGGTATATTTCCCTTTCCATCTAAATCTCCAATATTTTTTTATGCTCAATTTCTTTTGGAATTGTATGACAGGCATGTCTTATGTCAATTGATGCCATAAATCAATTTTCCTTGAAAAGATTTACTGCAGATTCTAAAGTATCCATCTTGACTTGATGGTATACTACATGTTCATTTAAATTTTTCAAATTGAGGATAAATCTGTATTCCCCATTTTTCTTTGGACTAACAAAAATAGATAAAAGAAGCTGAATTGGTCAAGAAATTGACAACAATAGCTCCTATTTTTAATAAATTCTGAATTTCTTGATCTATCAATTCAGATTTTACTGAGTGAAACACAGGTCCATACAAACTTCATTTTATTCTACCTGCATTATCTACAAATTCTATTTTGCAATTTTCCACTTTCTGTTATATATTTTTATCTGATGTAATTTTTCTCATTCTTTGGAAAAAAATATTTCAATCTTTCTGCATAAAATTCAACATTTTCTCACTAACCAATCATTTATTGAGTCTCGCTTTTCTATTGTGGTAGTGTATTGCTCTTCTTGAAGTATTTTGAATAAAATTGACCACTACTGTTTCTGTTTGAATAATTTGGATTGTATGCAGTGTTGTTATTGTGATTATTTCCACGTCCTCTAGGTAAACGACCCCTGAAACATCCTCTCATTCTCCCTCGGAATGATCCTCCTCCGTTCAGCTTATGACCAATCTTGCTACAATCTTCAAATTCTTTTGCAGCTTTTGGGATATCGTCACCAAATAAGCATGACGTGTAAGGCACAGTCTGTGCACACAAATGCAACTATAAGTATCTTAATTCTGGTTTTATAAGCTCACGTCTTGTCATATTTACTTGTTTGTTTGCATGTCCAAATGGGTTTGATAAAAGGGCTATCCCACGCACACCCAGTGGATAAGTGTTTACTTTTCACAATCGGAAAATTTTCATGCAACTTTTGCCTCCAATTTTGATTACCAATGACAAATCTATTGACTGATGATGTCATAATGACTTCAGTTGCATCGTGACGTCATCAGGATTTCAGATTATTCTTTCAGTATTATCTTACTCCAAAAAATTCAAACCTCAGAAATTATACATCAGTATAATAAAACGCTTATCCACTGGTTGTAAGTGGGATAGCTCTTTAATCAAACCCTTCACAGGGACTATTCCCCTCGTGAAAGCCCTTGGGGAATAGTTCCCTGTTGCGGGTTTGATAAATGAGCTATCCCACTCACAACCAGTTGATAAATGTATACTATACAAGGGGAATAACTAAAAACATATAAGGGTTACACGCCTACATATATTATACGGAAAAGGTAAGAACTTCTAATACATAATTATTACCATCGGCAATGGGCAAGTACTAATTATGATGACATACTAGTGTTTTTATATCATTGATCCTTTTCTATACACGTATTCAAGAATAATACAATAACTTCGATGCAAGGAAATATATTTTAACAATTTTATAGAAGCAAGGTATACTTACATTTACAGGCTGAATATTCCATAAATAGATGGCATTGATCTTCAAATGTCAACAATTCATTGCTAAATAACTCCTTTACATAGGCGTCGGAACCGGGGGTTAGGGGGAGTAAGCCTCCACCCCCACACTTTTTTGCAAAGATAGACATTATATATGCATTGAAAATTGGGGAATACCCTTTTTTGTTGGTTAAGCCCCCCCTTTCAATTTGATTCCGACGCCTATGCTTTAAACGTTTTGAGTTCAAACAGGGTAAAGATTCACAGTCTGGTGAAAGTTACTAAATTCTTATCAAATTAGAAAATGCATAGGATTTGTGGAGCAATTTCATGAATCTTCAGAATATTCTTCTGATAATTATATATTATTTATGCAAAAAAGTTAAGATATGCCCTTTGCGCAAACGCTGTTTTATTGATATATTTATTTTAATTCGTGTAGTAGAGGATAATGACATCATGATATAATATTATGCGTAATGGCTATGACATATTTAGGATATAAAAAAATTATAAGAAAATGAATTAAACTTTTCTTGTATAAAGTATATTTTCTT